ATCGGGCCGCCAGGCGCAGGCGACGGCGCGGGGCGGCCGCCGGGCCCGCCGCCCAGCCCACCGGCCCGGCCGGCCCCGCCTCACTCCCCGGCCCGGACCGCGGCGCCCACCCCGACGCCCGCCGCAGCCGCCCGGGGAGCCACCGCCGCCGCTTCCTCCTCCTCCTCGGTTACCTCCCGCCGTCAAACGACGCCGGCCGTAAAGCGCCGCCGAGTCTTTTGCGACAGATGGAAAAGGGGTGGGGCGGGAAGGAGGAGGCGTGGTCACCGCGGGCCTGGAGGCGTCCAATTCACGTGTTAAAAAAAAATCCCAGAGATGGCCAAGTTGTACACGTGTTGGGCCTCGTTTGTTACTGATAGATTCAGCAGCCCCAAGATTTAAAAAAGTACATTGTTCCTGGAAAATTGATGATCCTCTCTGCAATAAATAAATAAATAGATAGATAGATAGATAGATAGATAATCATACGGAAAAGTACAAAAAAAAAGAAAGAAAAGTAACCATTGGAAAGGACTTCCAGGGAAATATTTTGTTGACAACTCTGCTGGCCTGTCTAGCTGTCTGTATACCAGATGGGGACACAAATCCGGCCCAAGACTGTCAATTCTCTAATACCAAGTGTTTTTCTTGATGTCAACCTTGAGTTTTAACTCATTAAATGACACAACACTAAAATCTCGTATTTCTAAAAATGCCTTTAAATTGTGAATTATCAATGCAAAAAAAAAAAAAAAAGAAATTTCACATTGCAGCTTGAGCAGAAAGTTCAGCATGAACACAGGCTGGACAATGGGCGATTGTTTCCACTTGGTTTGTGGGCATTCCAAAGCCAGACAGAGCTCTCACAGTTGGAAATGGAATGGTTGCTTGAGGTGGCTTCCTGTGGGCTGTGAGTAGACACAGAAATGTTTGTCCAGATAAAGAGCCAGTGCCAGGCTAGAAGCTGTCTGTCTGTGTGATCCTACATATGCTTACCCTTGAAGAAATTAAAGATTATTAGCGGGGAGTGGTGGTATGCTCCTGTAGTCCCAGCTACTGGGGAGGCTAAGATAGCAGGACACTTTGAGCCCAGGAAATCAAGGCCAGCCCAGGGAACACAGTCAGACCCCATCTCAAAAGGGAATGAAATTCCAAAATCTTTTTGGGAGTTCACACATCTCACAGAATATCCTCATGGATGCATGGGAATCCATGATGTCCTGTTACAGAAAGCAATTAATCCACCTGCTCACCCTCCTCCCTTTGTGAAAGCCCAGACCAGTGTGATGGGGACTACCGACCAGTGCTTCTAGCCTCTAGTGACTCTGAGGATGAACAAGCTCAAGCAGGAAAAGCAAGCATAGTGCAAGACACATGGGAAGTATTCGGGTGTGTAAACCTGTTCACGTATTTTTGCTACACATACTGGTGTAGCGGACGTGTATATATCTTGGCTCACTTCTGTGAATGTTTCGGTGGAAGCAATTCCTGAAAAACAATCCCAGGGTCAAAGGAAAAGCTCGCTTCTGGTCTCTCAACTCCTTTGCCAGACTCTCCAATGCCCTAAGGCAGGTAGGAATGTCGCTGCAGCTACGGGTGAGTCGCAGAGCCACAGAAAGCCAGGGGAGCAAGAAGGAGGACTGGGCATCAGGCTTGGGTTTTGAATTTTTGCCCTGCCCCTTGATAACAAGTTGACTAACCTTCCTGGGCCTCTGTGTTTCCATCCATAAAATGGGGATCATAAAGCAAAGTAGGATTGCTCTGAGACTTCAACTGGATAAGTCCACGGAGCATTTAACACACTGCCTGGTTTAAATGGACTGTTATTGTTCAAAAAATATATATATTTTTTTTTTGGTACTGGGGATTGAACCCACGGTTGCTTAACCACTGAGCCACATCCCAAGCCATTTTTTTTTTAAATATATGTAGGTTTTATTTAGAGACAGGGTCTCACTGAGTTGCTGAACTCATGATCCTCCTGCCTCAGCCTCCGGAGCTGCTGGGATTACAGGCACACGCCACTACACCCATTAACTTATTTTGACTAGGAAACACCTAACACCTGTCCATGATGCAAAATTCAAGCACAAAATTGTGAAGGGTGACCATGTACTTTTCTCCCTCCTGGGGCCCCAGTTAATCTGTTCTTTCTTCTGTTTAGCCACTATTACCCATTCCTTGGCTATTCTTCCAGATTCCTTGAAGAGTCTTCTATTTGTATCTAGGTATATCCATACTTTTTCCATACACAGAAATTGTAGCATATGACATATACTTTCTTTAAAAAAAAAAAAACAACTTAAGGGAGGGCTGGGGATATAGCTCAGTTGGTAGAGTGCTTGCCTTGCACAAGGCCATAGGTTCAATCCCCAGCACCATACACACACAAAAAAAATCATTTTCAGTTTGGAAATTATTATTATCATTGTTGTTTGGGTTAAATACCAATGGGAAGCCGGGCACGGTGGCGCACACCTGTAATCCCAGCAGTTTGGGAGGCTGAGAGACAGGAGGATTGCAAGTTCAAAGCCAGCCTCAGCAACTGCAAGGTGCTAAGCAGCTCAGTGAGACCCTGTCTCTAAATAAACTACAAAATAGGGCTGGGGATGTGGCTCAGTGATCGAGTGCCCGAGTTCAATCCCTGGTACCAAAAAAAAAAGCCAATGGGAGGTGGCAGCCCATCTGGTAGCACAGAGTGTGTCTATCTCTCTGAGCTGTGGCTCTTCCTCAGGCCAACAAAGAAAATGAATAATAGAAGAGGTTAAAACCCAGCAAAGCCCTCCTGGCACTGGGAGCTGTCCTCCAGCCTGGCTGCCTCTGCACCTTCTCTGTAAAGCTGAGTCCTGTGCCTTTAACTATCCACAGCACGTGTTGCACGTACAGGGAGTAGCATCTGGGTGGCAGCCACCACTGGTTAAAGAGACAGGCCTCCTGGATGAAGCTTGGACCAGGTGCAAGTTTTAGCGATTCGGAGAAGGGGACAGGAAACAGATACTAAAATAGTGGAGGGCAGGTTTTGCCAGAGTGAATCCTTTCTTTTAAAGAGGCCAGCTGCCTCCAAGAATAATTCACCCTCCTGATTTATGATGATTCTGAGGATTTGAGCCAGGTACCACTAGCAAAGAATTTTTTTCTATCCACGGCACATCGTTGAACTCTAGCAAACAGGCAGTTAGAGCTGGGTTCCAGTGCTACTTCTGTGGCCCCACAGCAGCCCAGTGCTTCAATTTTCAGAGCCCCACTTGTCTTATTTTGCAAATGGGAATGATACTGCCTAACTTGAGGGCTCTTGGGAGCGGGAAATGACCGAGAGCTTTGAAATGGAACCAGTCAGCACAAGCTTGCTACTTTTGCCTCTGCTCTTGCTTGCATTTCCTGCTGTGAGGGTTTGGAATCTGTCTGCAACCTCCTGAATTCAAAACATCCGGTGGATTTGGCACCAAGTCCTGTCCCCAGCTGCAGAAAGTCCCAGCCCTGGGTCCCACAGAGGCCCTAGATTCTGCTCACTTTGCTTCCCTTTACTTGCCTTGTGATCTTGAGCTTGCTGCTGGGTCCCTCTGGGTTTCACTTTTCCCATCTGTACAAATGAGCAAGTCTCTGTACAGTGAGAGTACCTGCAAGATTCCCAGCGATGTATCCATCTTCTAAAAATCATATGTGTTCTTCCTTTTGTTTGAATTACACCAAATACTGCATATTCATTGTAAAAATTTTAAAAATAGAAATAAGAAAACAAAAATTACCTAGAAATGATAAGTGCTTTATACATGCACACACACACACACACACACACACAGGCGCACACACATGTTTGTTTTAAAGAATCCCATGACCTAGAAATAATCACTGCAACATTTGACTGTAATTTTACCCCAGCACGGTCTCTATGAGTGGCTCCATGTATAAGAATGTATCTTTATTGGGGATGGCACCAGAAAATCTTAGAAATGACTGTCTCCCAAATGAGCAAGTGAATTACAACTCCAGACAGAGAACATGTGGAATGTAGCCTTTGCATCACTCTTTAAAAGCCCCCTGTTCCTGCTGAGGGCAGGATCACAGCCTTTGGGACAGAGTCCCCTGTGTTTCTCCTGTGCTATCAAGGCAGTAAAGCTTCTTTTTCCTTTTTCTAAAAAAAAAAAGAGAGAGAAAGAAAGAAAAAAGTATCTTTACTGAGTGGGACCATACTGCAGTGTCCTAGGGTAGAGTATCTCCTAATCTGCCAGAAGGAACCTCCTGGGTCCCTTCTGAGGTCTCTTCCAAGGAGAGGAGGACTTTGCCCAGAGGTGGATGCCTCTAGCTGACTGGGGATCAGGAGCCCTTGCACTAGAGACCTTCCAATTGTTTGTTGGGCCTTTGGTGTTTCCATTCATTCATTCGTTGGTTGGTTCACTCATCAACCATCAGCGCTTAACCTCCAAAGCTCGGTTTCCCTAGGCTCAGAAGTTTGCCTCCCAGGGACATAAAGCCAGGTTTGGATTCCCTTTGGGGGTGAGAGTGGGATTTCTGCATTTCCAGCACCCTGCAGGGCCAGAGCAGGGCCAGGCCTTCCTCCACATCCCTGAACCCCCCAGGCTCACATCCTCTCCCCTTGGGTTTGGGGAAGAACTAATGAAATCCCAAGAGTTGACTTTCTCAGGGCTTGTCCCCAGGGTCGCTCTAGCGCGCTCCAGGTCACCCCACCCCACCCGTGCGCCCGTTGCATAGATGCCCTTATAAGCTCCACTTGGATTTCAGGTGAGCAAACCGAGGATGGGGGGTGGGGAGTGGATACCGAGAAGCCTCGGCGCCGTGTCGGGTCTAGAAACTGTGGCCCGGCCCTCCTTCCTCCAGGAGGTGGTGAGACCCCGGAGAAAGGGGCCGGCGGAAGGACCCGGGCGCCACCGGACCCGCGCGGAGCCGCCCCAGCCCGGGGAGCCCGGCGCGGCCCGTCGGCGGCACAGCCCTGCGGGGCGGGAGGAGCCGCGGCGCCGCCCCCGGGGCGGGCCCAGTGCGTGGCAGCCGCCGGCCCCGTCGCGAAGTTTCCAGTCCTGTGAGAGCCGCCGGCCCCGCACACCGTGCCCGGACCCCGCCATGCGGCCCCTGCTGCTCCTGGCCCCGCTGGGCTGGCTGCTCCTGGCCCCCGCGAAGGGCGACACGAAGCCGGAGGGTGAGGGTGCGGCCGGGGCGGGGCGGGCGCGGCGCGAGGGAGCGGGCCAGGGTGTCCCTGCTGCCCCGAAAGGACCGGTGTGGACCCGGGGCCTGGAGCGAGGGCTGGGCTCCGGCGGCTTGTCCAGTTGCCCGCTGGTGACTTGGACAAATCACTTCCCCTCTTGGGGCCGAGGTTCCCACCTTCGTGCAGCGGGCTGGACAGGGTGACAGCTGAAGTCCCATTCAGCGGAGACAGGACAATGATAACCCACACTGGCTACTATTTATGGGCTACTAGGGCCAGACACCGGCGACTGCGCTGGGACCTGTTTCCTTCTATTGTCTCCATTTCCTAGCTTGGCAAACTGAGGCCGCAGAGTTGATCACTTGGCTAAGGTCGCATAGCTGTGGGCCTCTGATCAGGAGTCACCCCAGGTATGTCTTGTTTCTAGGGCCCAGCCCAGAGCTACTAGGCCTTGGCCGGTGATGGGGAGGTGAAGGTGTGGTTCAGGTTTGTGGAGCACTTTAAGCCACCCCCCCTCCTCTGTGCTCTGCCCAGCCTCCTGCTAGGCTGGTCTTCCTCTCTCTGGTTGGCATGTGAGGAAACTGAGGCACAGACAGGTGAGATGCTTGCCCAGCCCTAGAGCAGCTCTGAGTCTGTGTGGACCCTCAGTCTCCTGCCTCTTTACTTCTCCGAGGCAGATTGGGTTTCCAGGTGTGCTCCACTATCCCAAGTGGGACTTCTGTCCTCCTCAGCCCTCCCTGGTGTGGCCCATTTCCAGGGCTGCCCAGTGAGCACCGGCGAGCTCTGAGGAGCCCATCTGATCAAAGCCAAGTCACACTGGCCATAGCCTCCCTGGTACCCATTCCCCTTGGCCCTCCATGGCACCCTGTTCACCCTTCTGGAGGATCTGGGAGCATCCTCAGCGTGAGGGGTGCTGGGATAGCAGAAGGAACTGGGTTCTGTGACCCTTGGACCAAGGGGGATGGGAACCCCATTTCTTAGGCACCTTCTTTGTGCTAGGTTGTACCCAGAACCACGTACCTCTCAGTGGTAAAGCCCTCGGCATCTCCATGAGGCTCAGTGTCCTAGGTACAGAACAGGGTGATAATATCTCACCTCTAGAGCTCTTGAAGGATTCCAGAGGACGAGGCCAGTGTGTGAGAATTCAGCTCAATGCTCGCCCCAGTAAAGGTCCTCGGAAAATGGCCTTTCCTGTCCTGGGCCAGGGCTGCCACCTTTCCTGGAGAAGCCCATCAGGGCATAAGATGGGTCAAAGAAGTCCCCCTAGAGAGATGCTGAGCACAGGCCTGAGCTGGTGGTGTGTGCAGGGGCCTGTACCAGCCTGGGGCCACTCACTGGTCAGGAGCCACGAGCCCTATGATAGCCTCTTTTTCCTGAGCCTCCCTTCTCCCAGCTTCTGCTGATGTGGGCCTCCTCCACCTCAGACCATTCCCAGGAGGGAAAATACGGCTGCCTACACTAAAGCCCAGAGAGGTGAGTCAGAGATGGACCAAGCTGATGGCAGGGCTTCGGGCACCCCCACTGCAGTGGGTGACAGGAGGAGGGCAAAGGAGATACAGGGCGGCCAGCATAGAGGGTGCTGCTGCTGGGGTTGGGGGATGTTGCTGAGCTCATCAGGGTAAAGTGCCTAGCAGGTAGCAGGCCCCATGGATGTGCAGGAGCGAGGCTGTCCGTCCCTTGCTTCATCTAGACTGTTTGAAGCACTGGGGGTGGAACCCAGGGCCTCGCTCACTCGTGATGCATGATGCACTCCCTCAGAGCTGTACCACCAGCCCCGTTAGACTCTTGATAGGTGAGGAATCACTAGCCTCAGTTGTAGGTGGGAAGATGGAGGCCCTGAGAGGTTGAACGCCTGGTCTCAGGTGGGGTCCCTCAGTGTCTGGGACTCAGATCCACAGCTCCTTCCTGCTGGTCCCCATCTCTGATTGCAAGGCTTCTACCTGGAAATGCTGCTTGTGGGGAACCTGCCGGCTCCCCCTAGCTGAACGGCAGAACAGAATGGGATGGTTGTTTTCCCTGCAGGCCTTGCCTGAGCCCCCCACTGACCAGAGTCAGGGAAGGCACAGTCATCAGCCCCCAGGGAGGCCAGCTCCTGCCTTACCTTGTCAGGTGGCTGGGATAGGAAGTGTTGACTAGGGCAGGGACTGTGACCTGTGCCCTTCTGGTACTCAGCCGGGCCTGAGGTGGGACCTGGGGAGCGTGGTGGGTGGGGTGCTCTTGGCTCGTGTCTAACCTCTCATCTGAACATCCATGAACTTGACACAGGGAGAGAAACATGGGCAGTTGTCACTTTGAAGGGTCCTCCAATCAGAGGGGACACAGAGCTCCTCACCTCAGTAGAGCCTTGTCTGATGGGGAAGACACAACTCTCTGCTCCCGGGGAGCCCTGTGTCTGAGGGAGGAGACCTTGCCCTCCTCGGGGAGCCTGTGGACCAATGTAGCAGATGGAAGAGGCCCTCAACAGAGCAGCAGTGCACAGGCAGATGCTGGTGCCCCAAGGGAGTGAGTCCAGGTGCCCCCAGGCCCTGGGGCCCATCTCCTGCCCTCCTTAGGCCCATGCCTGTCCCTGCAGGCCTTGGTTTTCCACGGGGAGGGGAGGACACCTGGCAAGGTCAGAGCCCCTGGGGAGGTGAGCTGGGCTTGGGTGGGGTTCCCAGTCTTGCTGTTCCACGGAAGGGGTTGGAAGAGTGCCAGGAGCCAGGCAGCCGGGATGGATGGGTTGGGTCCTGAGGTGCCTGAAGGCAGCCAGAACCAGGGAGGCCCCAGGCACAGGGATCCCCACTTCTGTCTGCCCTTCTGCTGGACCTTGTTTATACTAGTCCTAGTCAAGGGCTGGGGTGGGCCTGGGGGGGCGGCTGGGAGGAGCCTTCTTCATTCCTGCTCCCCAGAGAGCAGCCTGGGTGTGTCCTGACCATGCCTGAAGAGGACACACTGACCACCCTTTCCCTTGCCCGGGCTGGAGCTGCTGGGGAGGACAGGGCCAGCTCAGTCAGGCTGGGTCTCAGCCTTCCCCGTGGGACCCCAGAGGCCCTGTTCTTTCAGGACCTCCTCAGCTCTCCCGCCCGCCTCCCGGAGCCCCCTTGCCCAGCCTCTGTCTGCCACTCTCGTTCTCAGGAGGGTGGCTGTTGTCCACTCTGACCCCAGGCCAGCGCCCGCCCCTGCATGGCCCCTTTTCTCAGGGGAGACTCCTCCCTCAGACAAGAACCCAGGTGCTCCCATTGCCCAGCACTTGACAGCCTGGCCCAAGGCTCCTCGGGGAGTCTCTGCAGGAAGTGCTGTCTTCCATGTTATTCCCATACTGCGACTGGGGAAAGCCGGCCCAGAGAGCCTGTCTGTCTCCCCCTCTGCATCTCATTTATCCCTGCTGGATCGCAGGTTCATCCATCTGGGGAAATCATTGCTGGACTCTAGCCAGCAGTTGGGGGGGTGCTTAGTTCTCTGGTGCCAGGCCCAACGTGGCCCCTGGCCTGAGATCAAGGCCAGTGGCTGAGCAGACAGAAAGCAGGTGGGCGGACCTTGGTATCTCCAAGCCCAAGCTGAGTCTCCACGTTGACACCCTGAGGGCTGTCCAGAGCTCTAGCCAGCTTGACCAGGGATTGGGAACAGGCCTGGACCATGTGTCCACCCTGGGGAGGCCAGAGAGAAGCCTTGGAAATGCTGGATTCAGTCTGTAGCGGGGAGTCTCTGGAGTCCTGGGTGAGGTTAAGAGCATGGCGTTTGGGGTGCTAGCCAACTGGTTCCTATCTTGTGCCAAGGTCTGTGGCCTTGGGCAAGCATTTAGCCTCTCTGTGTCTCATTTCTGCTGCAGGCGGAGGGTGATGGGGACTACAGCAGCAGGTGGCTTCTCTTGGGGATTCGGCCCCTGGAGCTCTTTAAACTCACCTCCCGAGGGTGCTCCTCTGGGCCTGACAGGAGCACATCTCGCCTTGGCAACTGTCCAGCTAGGGGGAGGCGAGGGAGGCCAAGGAAGGAAAGGCGTGACCATGGCCCCACAAAGGGAAGAGCAGCAGGTCTGTCCCAGTCCTTCAGCAGCTGGGTGGCTAGGTAAGGGGAGAGACTGAAGAGGGCCTCCTGGAGGCCTTGGGCTCGGGGCCTCCCTAGGAGAGCTGTGGCTGCCGCAGACAGGACAAGGGAATGGAGTGCACCTGGGTCATTGAGGCATTTGTTTCCTTGGGGGGTGTTGGGGTTGATGCCAGGGTCCCTTAGGAGAGGCCTTACTTGCGATCTCTTGCTGAGAGCCACTCCCCACCCCACATTGGAGCCCAGAGGACTGGAGACGGCTTGGCCTGCTGGTTCCCAGATGTGGCTGACACCGAAATCACTTGGGAAAGTAAGGAAGACTCCAGGCTCCTGGGCCCACTGCAGACCTCAGGCCATCGATTGTCACAGCCTCCCATGCTGGTGTGCAGAAACCGCTGAGCCACGTGACCTCGTGGCACCCTTGGCTGGGGAAGCAGGCACTGCCACAGCCCAGGGAGCCCAGGACTTTAGGGCCCCAGGGTGGGCACTGGCAGCAGACGAGAGTGACAGAGGGACAGGCACATGAGGAGGGTCTGGCATGGCGGGGATCTCACTGTGACCCAGCTAGACAGTTTCCTTAGAGGGAAAGACAGGGCCCTCAGAGCAGGTGGCCTGGTCACTGTGCCAGGCCTGGGCAGTGCATGCAGTTAGGTTGAGAGGGGATGCCGGGTCAGGCTGCTGTGGCACAGCCCTGGTGCCACCATATCCTGGCTCCCTGGGGCACGCTAGACGCCACCCAGCCCGTTTCCTAACTTCAGAGTGGGTTTAGTGTGAATAAAGTGCTTAGGGTGGCATGTGGCACGTGGCATGTGGAAAGTGAACGGTGAGCCAGTAAGTCACTGTCCTTTGGAAGCAGAGCTGGAGAAGGGAGCCTGAGACCCTCCCCGGTTCCCCTTCCCGCCCCTGCAGCCGGGTTTCTTCCCAGAGTCCAGAATCACACAAGCTGGCTTTTTCCATTGGTGAAATGTGACACTCTTCCTGTCCCCCCCGCAGCCCCCTTTTGGCAGGAGGGCCTCAGAGCTGGTAGATGGTTCTCCTCACCTGGGGGAGACAGTCATCCTGGCAGGAGTTGAGGGGAGCCCTTCCCAAGTGTGAGAAGCCCCCCTTTTCCTGGCCCCTGGGGTCAAGGGGGAAGCACCCACTCCTCCTACCCACCCGGCCGGCTCCTGCCCACCCCTGCTCTGGGGCCAGAGCCTGCAGGCTGCTCAGCTTCCACTGCTTTGGCCCGATGGCCCCCTTTGTTCTTTGAGCCCAGGCCCCTCCTGACTGGGGTGGAGCCTTACCTGCCTGCTGCTGGCCTGGCTGCTGGTTAATCTTGGTTAATCTTTACCAGAACAGCAGGGTGCTGAGGGAGCTAAGCCCCCACAGAAACAATGAGCAGCCAGAGAGGGCGGTGTCCGAGGTCTTCAGAGAGGTGGTGGGGGGGGAAAGGGCTGTCATTGTTACTAGCCCTAGACTTCAGAAAAGGGACACAGGGGGAGGCAGTTGGAAGGGGCGGAGCCCAGTGGCTAGAGCCCTGGCCGGAGGAGAGCCTGGGTAAGCACAGTGCCTGGCCTGGCGAGTGCCATTTGCCTCTCTGGCCAGTGCTGGCCAGTGCTGGCCATGGCTCTTGGTGTGTGCTGAGCGTCCCCTAGAGGATCTCACGTGCCTGGTCTTACTTGACTAGTGCCTGGGAGGCAGGTAGTGTCATTGTTTTTACTTTATAAGGGGAAAGCCGAGTCTCAGGGGGGGACAGGGACTTGCCCAAGGTCTCACAGCTGGCTAGGGGTCTGAGCAGGCAGGCCAGCTCCAGATCCCGCTTCTCAGAGAACACGGTCTCCCAGCAAGTCTGGGAGGGCTTCCCTGGGGCTCCCAGACGTGCTGTCTGGGGAGCTGTTTCCAGCAAGTTCTGTTGGAGAAGTGAAGCCTCACTGCAGAGCCTGGGTGAGGTCCCTTGTCCAAAGGTAGCAGCTGCTGTGGCCCTGAGTCAGTAGTGGACCGACAGGGAGTTCAAGTCCGTTCCCACTCTGGGCCAGCTGGGTGAGGCCTGTTGGAGTAGCAGTGTCTGTGCTGGGCGTGGGCGTGAGAGCAGTGGCCGCTGGACCTCGTGTTTGCCATCCTGGGCTAACGTCCAACATCAGCTGGAGAGACCTTCTGGTGGTCAGAACGAATCCTTCTCCCCACCCCGTGGGGGCCTGAGCCCCCTAAAGCCAGAGGCTCAGCTCCTCACAGCAGGGTGCTGACACCTCACCTGTGGACACTGCTTGACACATTGGTAGTTACCAGCTAGGAGTCCTGGGAGGGAGCAGGGAGGCCTGGGTTTGTCCCAGCTCTGTCACTAACCCGTGGAGTAATCTTGGGTGCACCCCCTCCGACGTGGGTCTTGGGTTGACATGAAGGCACGTGCTGCCAGGATTGGACAGGTCACTGTGACCCCCTGCTCCCCATCAACTCCCCACAGCTTCTATTCCCATTCAACACGCCCTTCTCTGCCCACAGACAACCTCCTAGTCCTCACGGTGGCCACAAGAGAGACCGAGGGGTTCCGCCGCTTCAAGCGCTCAGCTCAGTTCTTCAACTATAAGATCCAGGTGAGGGGCTTCCTGGGCAAGGTAGAGCCAGCAAGGGGTGGTGGCAGAATCCCACACTGCCAGGGCCCCGGAGACAGACTTGGGGCCACAGGGAGGCTTCCAGAAGGCGGAAGGATGAAAACTAGCTAGGACAAGGACAGAGCGTGAGCATTTCTTAGGAGGTGAGCAAGAGGTGAGGCGAGACTGGAAAAGTCCACAGGAGACTCACCCAGGGGGGCCTGGGTAATGGGCAGGCTCTGGGAATCAGCATTTCCACAGATGACCCTGGGACGTTTTGGGACAGTGATCTGGGGACCTTCCCTGTGAGCACTGTTCTGAGTCCCCGTCATGGGCTTGGTGTTCTCTGTCCATGGTCTACGGGGCTTAGTCCTGCAGGTGCTTCTCTGTGTCCCCCGTGTGGGGAACTGGGGATGGAGTGGTGGACAAGACCGATGACATCACTGCCTCCCCAGAGCTTGGCCTGAAGCCAGAAAGGAAATGCATTAGCTCACAAGGATGAGGTTGAAGAAGAGGTTTGCTTCAGGCCTAGGTGGCTCTGGGGTTTCAGCAGAGCGAGGGCCCTGTCCTTCTGGGTCTACGTTCTGCTTGTCTTCACCTGCAAACGTGCTTCCTCTGCACGGTGGCCAGGTGACATTGCCGTAGACTCAACGCATTAGAGCAAGAAGCCTTTCCTAAATTTCAACAGAATAGACCCAGGAAGGCTGGTAGACTATGCTTGGGTCACATGCTCAAACCTGGCCCTGGAAAGGCGGGAGGAATCGGACCCGCTGATTGGCCAGGGGTGGTCAGGGACCCCTGGGGGCCAGGCCAGCCTCACACCTGGGTAGAAGGGTTTTTCCACAGGGGAGGCCCAGAGGGGCTGAGCAAACAGGAGTCAGGATGTTTGCTGCTCTGCTGCAGGTGGGAATTTGACTGGGAAAATATTTCTTTGCCAAAAGCTAATGTTAAGGGGCCCTCTCCACAGGCACTGGGCCTGGGGGAGGACTGGAGTGTGGAGCAGGGGGCGTCGACAGGGGGCGGGCAGAAGGTTCGGCTGCTGAAGAGAGCTCTGGAGAAGCATGCAGACAAGGAGGACCTGGTCATTCTCTTCACAGACAGGTAGGTGGCCGAGAGCTTCCTGACTGCACCCTCACCAGAGCCCGAGAGAGGAATATTCTAAACCGAGGCCCTCCCTGCACATCAGGAGCCAAGATTGTGGCTTTAGGGGATCCATGAACCCCAGGATAGGACCATCTGGTGTAGGCCACTCCCACTCCTGGTCAGAAGATGGAAGTGGGTGACCTGCTCAGTGTGGGTTTTTTGGGAGGGCACCAGGGATTTAACTCAGGGGCACTCAGCCACTGAGCTACTTCCCTGGCCCTATTTTTATATTTTATTTAGAGACAGGATCTCACTGGGCTGCTTAGCACCTTGTTTTTGCTGAGGCTGGCTTTGAACTCACGATCCTCCTGTCTCAGCCTCCCCAGCCACTGGGATTACAGGCTTGTGCCACCACATCCAGAGCTGGTGTGTTTTGAATGTGACAAGGACGTGGGTTATGGGGATCATCTTTGTGCATCACTGGGGTGGAGAAGTAGCAGGCTGGGCTGGAGTCCATGGGCAGATCAGATACGTCTCCTAGATGGTGACCCAGGGCTGGCAGGGAGAAAGGATTTGTGGGGCACCTTGGTCCCTGTCCCCTCCTGCTGGTGCCCCCCCTGGACCCCTGCTCATCTCTTTTCCCTGCTCTGGCCATAGCTACGATGTGGTGTTTGCCTCGGGGCCCCGGGAGCTCCTCAAAAAGTTCCGGCAGGCCAAGAGCCAGGTGGTCTTCTCCGCGGAGGAGCTCATCTACCCAGACCGCAGGCTGGAGGCCAAGTATCCGGTGGTCTCTGATGGCAAGAGGTTCCTGGGTTCTGGAGGTGAGAGGCCTGGGTGAGCATAGCACCCTGCAGAGGGGCCCCTTGGGTGAGACCTATCACAGGCCACAGATGCAGAGCATCATGAAGAGTCTTAACCTCAGCCTGCTCCCCTGCAAAGGGTGGCCTCATTAAACAGCCTCTCAGCTGCGAGGTCAAAACCTGCAGTCGCACTGGCTTTCTCCCCTGATGTCCCCACCTCTCGTCCATCTCACATTGTATCACTCATGCGTCTGAAAGGCCTCTCGACTCTTCAGGATGCCTGAACCTGCCCTTGTGGGGTCACACTCCCCACCTTGCAGGCCCCATGCCCCCCCCCAACCTCTGGCCCTCTGTAGTCAGCTTCTAACTGCTCTGCCAGCCTCGGCCTCATCCGCTTCCAGTACATTCTCCACCCAGCAGCGCCAGAGGTCTTTAAGAGGATCCGAATCCGTGCTGTCACTCAGTGACTTCCTGCTGCAAAGGATAAAATCCACAGGCCTGTGTCAGCAGCAGGTCTGCCCCTGACAGCCACTGTGTCCTTAGCTCAGAGAGTTAGCCCAGCAGATGACCTGGCTGGCCAGGGGCCAAGGTGTGCGGTTTCTCTTTGCCTCTCGAAGGCTGCACCCTAACCAGGGAGCCCGCGTGGGCTTTGCCCGCTTGCCAGGGCTCAGCCACCAGAGAGCTGTGTGGCGTTGGCCCAGCCCCTGCCCTCCTCTGGGCTAACTTTACCAGATCAGTATATAAAAGGGGGTCCAAGCCTGGATCCCCCCCAACTCCACTCTCCCAGGGCTGGTGCAGTCCATCTATTCAGCACCTGTAGGTGCTCAGCACTGAGTAGGTGCAGGTTGGTGGGAACCATTGATCTTGGGAACTCATCAGTTAGTGACATAAATAGCTGCCCTCCTCCAGTCCAGGAGGACTCCTGGGAGGAGGCAGAGCATGTAGGTAAAAGCCTGGGAGGTGGGTGAGTTAGGGGATAGGGGAGGCCCTTGGCTTAGAGGCCCGAAGCTAAGTGTCTGCCTCTATGTCCCCCCACCTCTGCGACTACCCAGGCTTCATTGGTTATGCTCCCAGCCTCAGCAAACTGGTGGCCCAGTGGGAGGGCCAGGACAGCGACAGTGAGCAGCTGTTTTACACTAAGATCTTCTTGGACCCAGAGAAGAGGGTAAGAGCTGGCGGTGGCCAGAGAGAGGAGGCCGGGAGTCCTGGCTCTGGGTCCCACTGGCCAGGCTGCACTGCTCACCGTCCCCCTGGGCCTGGGCCGCTGGGTCGGTGTCCTAACCCCTTGGGCAGCTGTAACAGATAGACGAGGGGCGTCTAAGCAGTGCTCAGGGTTCTGGAGGCTGGAGTCCGAGATCAGCATGGCTAGGTTCTTGACTGTACAATGAAGCGAGAGTCCTTTCCCCAGGGGTGTGGTGAGGATGAGATGAATGTGTGTATGCAGGGTACTTAGACTGGTGATTGGCATTGGTCATTACAGTGGCCATCAGCCTTGTGGTAGGAGCAGCCCCTTCCTCCGTTCCTTCAGTTCTGAGATCCTCTGATTCTCTGTGAATGGACCCCCAAGACCAGAGACCCCAGGGCATGGCTGCTGGCTGGCCTCCTCAGGGCTGCCGTCACGTGCCAAGGCAGAGAAGTGGGGGACAGGCTCTCCCACTGTGTGCTCAGGCCCCGGCCTCAGCCAGGGCCTGTGTCTGCTGCAGCTGGTCCCCTCCTTCCCCCAGGAGCAGATCAACATCACCCTGGACCACCGCTGCCGCGTCTTCCAGAACCTGGACGGAGCTTTGGGTGAGCGGCCCCTGGGGTCAGTGGGAGCCCTCTTCTGGGTGGGCCCCCTTCTTCCCTGCTCTCCCACCTTCCAGGTGAAGGATTCCTGGGTTGGGGTCCATGACTGCGCCGGAAGGGAGAGGAGGGATAGCACTTGAAGGGGCAGACACCTCTGGCCTGGGCTCATGTCCGGGGCTGGTGACGACGTTGCTTTGCTTTGTCACGGGTCTTGCCGGGTGATTTCCGGCGTGACTCTCTCTCCCTGTACACACACACACACACACACACACACACACCCCCCGAGTTCCCGTTTCCTATCTTTAAAAATGGGAAACGGCTGGGTACAGTGGTGCTCGCCTGTAATCCCAGTGGCTCGGGAGGCTGAGGCAGGAGGATCGCAAGTTCAAGGTCAACCTGGGCAACTTAGACCCTGTCTCAAAACAAAAAAATAAAAAGGGCTGGGTTGTGTGGCTCGGTGGAAGAGCACCCCTGGGTTCATTCCCAGTTAAAAAAAAAAAAAAAAGAGGAAAAAGCGAAATGCAGAACCATCGTCCTCCTGCCTGTGGCTTCTCAGGCTCTGGGTTAAGAAGCTGGGCCGGGCCACTCCCTTGGCCTTTGGGAGCTTGCACAGAGGGGCTGTCCTCATGGTTACCCCCATGGAAGGCCTCCCTCCCTGAATCCTCTCAGGCCACTGAGAAGAAAAGACCTCTGTGCATTTTATACCGACTGCAGCCGTCCCCCCATTTCCCTCCGTGCAGAGTACCAGGGATCTCCCCGCCCAGCGCTCCTGGTTTGCCTGGTATATTCTCAGTGCTCCTCTCGTGACTGGAGCTGGGGTGTCCTGGGGCTTTGTTCTCCGGTCCCCACTTCTAGTTCCATTAGGACGTCATAGGTGTGGGCTCGTGGATTCTGTGCTCACGCCACGTGCCCCTGCGGTGCCAAGTGCTGGCTGGACACAGGGTCCTCCCACTCACCTATGAGGAAGGGATTTGCCCCGCATTACAGATGAGGAAACTGAGGCTCAGAGAGGTGACATGATGTCACCTGCTGGCCCCTGGGCTTGGCTTCTGGGTCTGACCCTGGATGGCACTTTGCTTTCTGACCCCTAGATGAGGTGGTGCTCAAGTTTGAAATGGGCCACGTGAGAGCACGGAACCTGGCCTATGACACACTCCCGGTCCTGATCCACGGCAACGGGCCCACCAAGGTAGGGAGGAGCCCAGCATCTGGGAGAAGGGCCACCTGCTTCCACCTCGCATCTGAGTCCATTCCTCCTGTGCTCAGTTGGGAGTCCACTGTCCCCATGTGGGCCTCGGCAGTGCTGCCAGCGCTGTCACAATGTTAGCCGGGGGCAGAGTCCTTTACTCTCTCCGTGGGCATTTATTGACTTTTTATACCGGAGGCCAAGTCATGGTCAGTTGCAAAGAGGACAGATGGTCCCCGTGTTCATGGTGCCGTGCAAGGGCCTGGGGCACGCTATGCCTGGGGACAGGATGGACCTAAGTCGCTCCTGGGGAACTGGCCCATGGCTCCTAACATTTTTCTCTGTCTGTCCTCAGCCACCTGCATCAGAATTGCAGGACAGGGAGGAAGGGAGTGTGTAAAAGATTGAGGTTTCCTGACTGCACTGGGGTCTGCTCCCCTGGAACCTCTGAGGGATGGGGACCGTGACCACCAAGTTCTCCCTGTGCACCGCCCTGCAGCTTCTGTGCACTCTGAGGGATAGGACATTGTCACCAAGACCCACTCAGGGCAGGAGAGGGCTCACCAGGGACGCAGGGAGGGCCCTCCATGACTGCTGATCGGGGAGGCCGGTGGGCAGGCTCCTCTTCATTCCTGTGTCCCCTCCACAGCTGCAGCTGAACTACCTGGGCAACTACATCCCTCGGTTCTGGACCTTTGAGACGGGCTGCACCGTGTGTGACGAGGGCCTTCGCAGCCTCAAGGGCATTGGGGTGAGGCTATGGCCATCCCTGAGCTTAGGGACATACAGGGCTCAGTGCCCCAAGATGGGGCAGGAACAGATGGTTCTGGAACAGACGTCGGCTCTGGTGGGAGGTGAAGGGGTCACCCCGTGTCTGGCTGCGTCCACACTGGCCACTTGGTGGCCACATAGTGTCTGGAAGCTCCTGGACCCTTAGCCACCCCTCCCCCACGCAGGATGAAACTCTGCCCACGGTCCTGGTCGGGGTGTTCATAGAGCAGCCCACGCCGTTCCTGTCCCTGTTCTTCCAGCGGCTTCTGCGGCTCCACTACCCGCGGAAACGGATGCGGCTTTTCATTCACAACCATGTGAGTAGCAGGCACCCTGAGGGTCTTCGTGTGGCACCCTGAGGGTCTTCGTGTGGCTGGGGGTTAAGGGGACAGCGTCATGAGCTGGCCTGAGCCCTCTGAGGATCTGACCGAACCATGCTTATCTGAGCCAAACGGAAGTAGATGTGGCAGTGACCCCAAATCACTAGTTGACTCTGGAGTCAGAGGGCTGGGCATGAATCCCAGTAAGACTGCTTTGATTGACTGGGTGACCTTGGGCACATTCTTCAACCTCTCTGGGCTTCTGTTTCTCAACTATAAAGTAGGGATCATAATAGCACCAATCACATAGAATTGCTGCAGGGTTTAAGAAGGTTACCTCCAAAAAAGAACCTAGTGCGTAAGAGGCGCGACATAGTAGGTGTTCTTAGCTGTTGTCATTTTCGTTTTATCCCCTCCCATGCTGCCCCAGCTAATGCTTTCTAATTTGATCTTATGATGTCAAGTTGGATTTTGCTCCTTAGGTTCCTCCCGGGGAACTGTGGAGGGCCTGAGGCTGCTCTGTGGGGAGCAGGCCTGGTTCCACTCCAGCTCCTTCCTTTCTACCTCTCCTCCTGCCTCTCACCTCTGCTCTGACCATCTCCCGGCTGTGAAGCCAGTTCCTGCCCAGTCCCGTGTGTTCTGCCGGGCTCTGTCTTCCAGAGTCTTCTCAGCCAGCTGCAGACTCCCACTTCAGAGAGCTCTGGACCCCTCCAGTGTGCACCCTGCCCCCAGGGACGCAGCTCAGCTCCTTGCCTAGGTCACCAACATGCATGTCACCTGTTTCCTGCACCCCCAGGAGCAGAAGGGGTGTGGGCCCTGCCTGGCGAGGCTCTCAGGCTCCCTGGAGGGCCCACCCATGAGCTGTAGCTGTATAGAAAAGGAGAACTGTCACAGGTGGTCTTGAGACCTACTGTGTGCTGTGTCTGACTCACGGTGACCTGGGGAGGGAGCAAGCTGAAGTGGAGAAGGCAAAGGGACTTGTCCGGGGTCACACACTCAGCATGACAGGGCCACGGTTGGTCTGAACCTTGAATTCGAGCCTGAAGACGCTGCTGTTTCCGCACACCTTATGACAGGGCTCCTGGTCTGGGCTCTCATTGGCCAGGTTGTGGCCAAGGGTCATGTGGTGCAATTTGTAACAGAGCATTTTCCTGAGCCGCACCCAGGCCCGCGTGGACTGTGTCTCTGTGCGTGGGCCTGGGGCTGGGGGGGATGCTGTTCTGGCGTCAGAGGTCCTGAAGAGGCCTGCAGGCCTGGCCTGGTCAGGGAGGATGCTCCAAGATGGCAGAGAAGGGCAATCCAGGCAGAGGGCCTGGCTTGGGCAGAGGTCTGGAGTTGGGAACGCAGGTAACCAGCCATGTGCCGAGGTGATGGGGAACAGCCCGGCAGTGACCGTGGGGCTGTGGTCCCTAGGGTGGAACCTGAGTCCTCTCCTCCCCCTGCCGCCTGCCCCAGGAGCAACACCACAAGGCCCAGGTGGAGCAGTTCCTGGCAGCCCATGGCGGCGAGTACCAGTCTGTGAAGCTGGTGGGCCCCGAGGTGCGGCTGGCCAACGCGGATGCCAGGAACATGGGCGCGTGAGTCACAGGCTGTGGTTGTCTGCGCTGACCGTGGCGGGCAGATGGGCCGTGGTGTCAGGAGCCGCAGGCCGGGCATCAGGAGCCCAGAAGCTCTGGGGGACCAGTGTGTTTCGGCCTTTTCCCGGGCCTCAGAGTTCCCATCTGTCACATAGGGAAATGGTCTCTTTCCTGTCAACCTCCGGGCTCTCAGGCAGGCGGAACACTGTCATTTGGGTGCAGAAAGCAAAACTAGGAAAAGAGGAAGAGCTGGAGGGTCAGAAAATGACAAAAGCTGACATTAAGGAAAACAACTTCTGATTTTTTTTCCCTTTACTATGAAAAAGGCAAAAACACACAAAAAAAGACGCAAGTAGTTTGTGTTGATTGTAGAAGAATTGGACATTCCAGATCAGGGTTGGCCAACTTCCTCCAAAGCACTAGAGTGTAAACGGATTTGCCAATCGGCTTTGTGGGGTCATCGGTTGCAACTGCTGGGCTCAGTCCTTGCAGCACAGTGCCAGTCACAGATGTCATGTAATGAATGAGTGGGACTGTGTTTTATTTAGGGACACTGAAGTTTGACTTCCACGTAATCTTCTGATGTTCTTTTTTTCTGTCCCAGTCATTGAAACACAGAACATCATTTTTTTCACTCATAAGCGGTACAAAGCCAGGCAGTGGGAAGATTTGGACCAGGGACCGTAGATTGCTGAGCCCTGATCAGATGAAAGAAAAGGACACGCTTTTTAGTTGATTTATTCACTTGCAGCGCTGGGGACGGAAACCAGGGCCTCCCTCATGCTAAGCAAGTGCTCTACCACTGACCAACACCTCCAGCCCCCGTTACCAAAATGCCCTCCAACATCAGCCTCTCCCCTGCCCTGAGCGCGGTGGGGACCTGTCTGGTGGCCTGTGCTGTCCCTTGTACCAGGTTTTCAGGGCACTCGATGCCGGTTGCCAGGCTCTAAGCCTCTGTCTTGTAAGTGCGGAAGCCGAGGGTGGGAGTCTGGGAGTCGGACCGTTGTGGCAGCTGGTCTGCCCCAGGGCTGGCTGACCTCTCCGTGGCCCTTCAGCTGGTACACTGTAAAGCCAAATCATGGTCACAGTTGTGGGCAGCTGCTGGGCGGCTCCAGGACCAGCCTGGCCAACCCGGAGTCCTCCTTTTCCTTGCAGAGACCTGTGCCGGCAGGACAGGGCCTGCACCTACTACTTCAGCGTGGACGCAGACGTGGCCTTGACCGAGCCCAACAGCCTGAGGCTGCTAATCGAGCAGAACAAGTGAGCCTGGGGTGGGCACTCCCGGCTGGGCCCTAGCCCTCCTCGCTCAGGAGAAGCCTGTGCAGGGTGGGAGCCCCTTGGCTTCTCCGCCTCCTCCTGGGCTTGCCTGTGACCTGGGCTATGGGACCCCAGCCTGGGGACTCCGTGGGCTGGTAGAGAATGGCTGTCCTGTGGCGGGGAGGGAGCTGATGAGCCACACGACCCTCCAGGCAGACCCCCACCCCATTAGGTACCCCTGTGAGCAGGTGTCAGCCCCCAACCCCATCCCTGTCGGGTCTATTTCCTGTCCCACTAAGACGCCCATTTCCTCAGGAACGTCATTGCCCCTCTCATGACCCGCCACGGGAGGCTGTGGTCCAACTTCTGGGGGGCAATGAGCGCAGATGGCTACTATGCCCGCTCTGAGGACTACGTGGACATCGTGCAGGGGCGGCGCGTGTGAGTGCCTGTGGGGTGGGCCACCTTCTTCCATCTTCCCTCTGGGCTGGCCGAGGCTCCCTCCCCGCGACTCCTGACCTGGTTGCCCTCAAATTTGTCTTGACCCTCAAGCAATGAAAACTGCAGCCAGACACAAAGAAAGACTTCCTGACAATTGCTCTGGGCCCATGTGCCCAGAGTAGGGGATTCAGATCCACAGTATGATGCCCTCTCAGCCTGTGACCTCCCTTTCCTCCTGGCCCCAGCCCCTGGCCTGTAAGTCCTTCCACCAGCCTGTGACCCCCACCGTCTTGCTCTCTCGCCCTCAGTGGTGTGTGGAACGTACCCTACATCTCCAGCATCTACTTGATCAAGGGCAGCGCCCTGCGGTCTGAGCTGCAGCACACAGACCTGTTCCACCACAGCAAGCTGGACCCAGACATGGCCTTCTGTGCCAACGTCCGGCAGCAGGTCTGTGAGGCTGGGTGGCCATGGCGGTCTGTGGGCAGGGGGAGCTGGCCTCCAGCTCTGACCTGCTCAGTGGGCTACCTTGCACTGTAGGCCAGGAAGCACCTGAGGATCCAGCAGGGTCACTCAGAGGCCACCAGGGCCACTGCGCCTGAGGGTGGTCCTCAAGGATCTACAGGGACCATTTGGTGGACTCAGTTTTCACACTGTTTGTATTATTTATATTTTTGTCAAAGCCTAAAGGAAATGAAACTTCCCCCTAAATGTCATCTAAGTAAGGTATCCAGGGGGCCCCACACTCCATCTCTGCTTCCCAGCACCCCCTCCCCATATTTCTTGGTGATTCTTTTAGTGGGGTCTGGGGATGGACCCAGGTCTCGTGTGTTAGGCAAGTGCTCTACCACTGAGCTGCATTCCCAGCCCCGGTGATGATTTTTTCTGATACTGGGGTTTGAACCCAGGGGCACTTTACCACTGAACTCTATCTCCAGTCCTTTTAAACAATTTTAAAGCCTTCCTTGATTGCCTCCTGGATGCTGGTCCTAGGCCCAGGAGCAACCTGCACTTATCTATCCCTAGTCTTGTGAACTGGAAACTGGCAGCATCGCTGCCCCTCCTGGGGACATGCAGGGGAGGGGTGGGCCAGGGCTTCTTCAATCATGCCTGTTGTCCCCAGGAGGTGTTCATGTTCCTGACCAACCGACACACCTTTGGCCACCTGCTTTCCCTGGACAGCTACCAGACTACCCACCTCCACAGTGATCTCTGGGAGGTGTTCAGCAACCCCGAGGTGAGTCCTGGGGTGGGTGGAAAGGGCTGGGAACAGAAGGGACTTCCCTGATCCTGTGGCCTGTAGGCTACCTGTGTCACCCCCTCCCCCTGCCCTGGGGGCTGGTAAGGGCAGAATTCAGGTAAGGAAGGTCCCTCAGAGACAGCGCCACCTAGTGGAGGAGGGAACCAGGCCTCAGAGGCCTTCTTTTGAGGCCCAGATCTGTCAACTCTGACTTGGTCAAGACCCTCTCACCTTTTGGGGCCTTGATTGTCTTGGTTTGTCTTGGCTGTAGAATGGGTATGCTACCTCAGCCTGTCTTGTCCCTGAGGGCGTCATAATGATTGAAGGAGACAGTTGTGACAATGTTCCTAGATGGTGGGAGCTTATAGTTGACAAGAGCATTTTGCACATACACATATACACAGACAGGCATGTTCATATGTGTGCAAAAACCATCTCCTGTGGGCACACTTGGGTGCCTAGATAGCACACCCTCACACGTGGGCACAAGTGAGCACCTACCTACCCCAAGCGTGTATGTAGCCACTTACGTGTTGAGGAGCCCGTCAGAAGCTCCCTTCTTGGAACGTCCTGTGGATTGAGCAAGTGGTGAGCCCCTGGCTCAGGCCAGACCCGAGGGCCCAGCCTGGTTCCCGCCCTACAGGACTGGAAGGAGAAGTACATCCATGAGAATTACACCAAGGCCCTGGCGGGGAAGCTGGTGGAGACGGTAAGCTCCAGATATTCACACGCTGGCCTGCTGCCAGGCCCTCACCTTCTGCTGGCCTTCACCTGCTGCTGGGTGAAGGGTGGCAAGAGGAGTTGGTGGCAGGATGGGCCCTCCCTGCTGACGTTTCCTCTCTGAGCCTGCAGGGGCCTCAGGGCCTGTAGGCCTCTTCCCTGGCCGAGGCATGCAGAGGGAAACACGTCTGAATGGGTCTCTGCTGTGGCCCCTGTGCCAGTTGAGGAGTGGCTGTCTGTCCTGTCTTCTGTGTCCGTTCCCCTGGGCCCTCGGCCTCCGCTCCCTGGGTGTGCATGTTCCTTTGTGATCCTGTGCTGGTAGCTCTGTGAGCTGGCTGGGCAAGCCCATCTCTGAGCTCTGCCTCCCGCTTTCAGTAGCTCACCTGGTCTGAGAGTCACTGCTGCTCAGGGTCACTCAGGGGGTCCCAGAGGGCTCTGAGGTGTAGTGGACGGGAGCTCCCTAGGGGCCCTGCAGCAGGCTCAGCATCACAGGGAAGATGCAGGGGTCGCCCTGCAGCCCCCCGAGACTGGGCCCTCGCTCTCTCCAGCCCTGCCCCGATGTCTACTGGTTCCCCATCTTCACTGAGGCAGCCTGTGACGAGCTGGTGGAGGAGATGGAGCACTATGGCCAGTGGTCGATGGGCGATAACAAGGTAGGGCTCCAGACGTCGGGGCCGGCCTGCAGGGGCTGCCCCTCCGCCCGCACTGCTTTCTGGGCTCTTCTCCTGGCTACATAGCCAGTGTCTCTGGGACTCTTCACTTAGGAGCGCTGGCTGGGGTGCCTGCAAGGCAGTCAGGAATAGAGGGAATGGGAGACTGGAGGTGGAGGGTTGGTCCCCAAGCAGCCATTACCACTGTGTGACTTTGAGCTGCCTTAACTGTGAGTTGCTGGGTTTTTAGGTCCTGGCTTATTATTAGAATGGTTTAGCTTCCTGCCTGACTTGTGCATGGAAGAGGAGAGGAATAGGCAAGTGTGGGGTGAGGGGCCTCAGGACATGGTGGTCAGGGCCAGGTTCATCAGCCATCCTCTGCAGGGCCTGGTGGACATGTGTTCTCTGAAGCGGGAATCCCGTCCCCGCCCTTGCCTGGGACATTCAGGCTCTGCTCGTAAAGGCACAGGAGATCCTGAGCCAGTGTGCCTCAAAGGTTGGGCTGCCTTTGATCTGGCAGCTGGACTGTCCTGTGGTTCTGGCTGCCTGCTCAATCCTTGTGCTTTGGTGGCTGGGCAAGTCTCCAGAACCCAGGAACTGGAATAGCTCATGCATTCTGGGGTTTCTTGTGCTCCAGTGACAGGGCCAATCCTTGGACCCCAGTACCTGAGCTAATGAGCCCATGGAACTAATTATCTGTTTCACGTGGCTAATGACCACAAGCTTACTTTTAATGGCTTTGAAAACACCCATTTATCATCTCCTGGTTTCTGTGGGCCAGAATCTGGCTTAGCCGGGTCCTCTGCTCAGAGTCTCACAAAGCTACAGTTGAGGGTCAGATGGGGTTGGTGTCTCCTCCCAGGCTTAGGGTCCTGTTTCAAGCCCGTGTGGTGGCTGGCAGGTTCCTGTACCTGCAGCAGGAGACATAAGGCATCTGGCTTTTTTGAGGCCAATGGGAGCCACAGTCTCTCTCTCCAAGACCCTCCCCCTCAGGTCTGGTCCACCCAGACTCCCTTTTGATTAACCCCAAGTCAATTGATTTGGGGTCTTACGTCAGCAAAACCCTCCGCTTTTGCCATATAATGTAGTGAAGTTCCATCCTATGCCCAGGCCAGGGGAGGGGCTCAGAGCTTACATGCCAGGACATGGGGACCTGGGGGACTGTCCTAGAATTCTGCTGCCACGTTCTCTCTGGTCACTTCCAGGACAACCGCATCCAGGGCGGCTATGAAAACGTGCCGACCATCGACATCCACATGAACCAGATCAACTTTGAGCGAGAGTGGCACAAGTTCCTGGTGGAGTACATCGCCCCCATGACGGAGAAGCTCTACCCGGGCTACTACACCAGGGTGAGCCCTCCATGCAGCCGGACGTGGGCGGGCCGAGTGTCTGGGAGGGGCGGGGCCAGGTGGTGGGCGGAGTACCTTCGAGGGTGGGGCCAAGTGAGTGGGTGGGGTGTCTGGGGAGGGTGGGGCCAGATGGAGTGGGCAGGATTCTGGGGTGAGGTCCGTTGAGGGTGGGCAGACAGCAGCGCCAACTTCCTGCAGAGGCCCGGATATGTGGTTACCAGGAGGAGCAGGGTCTCCCCATCATAGGAGTGTGGGGGTGGGGATGCAGGGCCAGGAGATGGGGCCTTGGGGTGACCAGGTCCCAGGAGGACACTGCTCTAGCTTCTCACCTTGCCCCTTTTGAATCCCTCCTCTGTCCTTAAACCTTGACTCTGGCTCCTACACCTGCCCACCAAGTGAACCCCCAGTTGGCCTGTGGGTACACCCAGTCCGCCTCTGGGTTTCTCTCTAGTGCCATCGCCCCTCTGTGTCCACCCCATCTCTGGCTCACTCTCTCTCTTGCTCACTCAGCTGTTTCCTCCTCCCCGTGGTTCTGTCCACCTGGCCTGTCTGCATGGTGGCCGAGAGGGTGCTGAGGGTTAGGTTCCTTCCTCCTCCTCTCTCTCCTTCTTCCCTCCTTTTACATTCTTGCTTTTGTTTTCCTCCCCCTTCTTGCCCCTCTTTCCCTATATTTTTCTTGAGGCTCTTCTGTGCCAGTGCTGTTCCTGGCAGAGGAGGTGGCGGCCCTGGGAGCTGCCATGCCAACAGATTGGACTGGGCCCTGCTGTGTACCCTGCCCCTCCGGGTCCTCGGCAGCTTCTCTTGACTGGCGCCTACCCTTGACTGTCCCTCTGCTCTGGCACAGGCCCAGTTTGACCTGGCTTTTGTGGTCCGCTACAAGCCCGACGAGCAGCCCTCGCTGATGCCACACCATGACGCCTCCACCTTCACCGTCAACATTGCCCTGAACCGGGTGGGGGAGGATTACGAGGTGAGCAGGGGCCAGGCCACAGGGCAGAGCGAGGGTTGGCTGGAGAGCATCGGGCAGGTGACTGAGGCAGAGGAGCCTGCCAGGTCAAAGGGCCAGAGGGAAGGGCTGCCTGGTGTGTGGAGGGGGCTTCCTGGAAGAGGTGGGTTTGAGGCACTACTTGGCAGGAGAGAGGGGACTTTCAGGGGGACAGCCTGAACTCTAGGAGATCTGGAGCTAGATTGCTCTGTGGCCTTGCCTCATTTCTTGACCTCTCTGTTCCTGTGTCTGAGTGCGCTCCCTGGAGTTGTGAGTTGTGAGAACAATTGAGGTTGTGCAGGGAGCCACGATAAGCTCTCAAGGAAGGGCCTCACAGGTGATAGGGAGCTTGGGTTCTCCTGTGGGAAGGGAGAGGGCTGCCTTGGGAGTGGCAGGGTATGGCATCATCTAGGTGTGGGGCACAGGCTTGCAGCTGGAGGGAGAGTTGAGGACGGTGGGAAGCTGTGGGGGCCTCTGGGCCCATGGGGGCCTCTGCATGTGGTCAGTTAGGGAGCTGGCCAGGCTTGCCTCCATCTTCTCCTTAAGCTACTATTTTTGAGGGTTTTCTTTTTCTTTTTTTTTCTTTTGGCCCAGGGGTGGGCCAAAAAAATTTGTAAAAACTGTTCAAAAACAGTTCAATTTTTTGAGACTGTGTCAGGCGTTCCCTAAGCTGGGGGTTCTCCGCCAGGAGCAGTTTTTGCCCCCCGCCCCCCCGGAGCCATTAGCAGTGCCTAGAGACATTTTGTGTTGTCACAACTGTGAGGGTGCTCTGGTATCCACTGGGTAATGGCCAGGGGCGCCCAGGACAGCCCCCCTGTCGGTAGTGACAAGGTTGGAACCTCGGCCCGACACTCTTCTGCCTCCTCTGTGACTTCTCACGGCCAGGGTAGCTTCGTTCCCACTTTACAGGAGGGATTCCCACTGACCCCAGAGTTAGTGAAGGGTGGAGCAACAGTTACCCAGGGCTGCCTGACTCTGAGGCCAGAGCCCTCCACCTGTGTCTTCCTTAGGCAGCTAGTGTCTGTCTGTCACTCCACAGGGCATCCCCAGGCTGGCTGTGCTCAGGGCCACTTGGCTGTGGCAGACAGTGGGACATAAGAGAATAGGAAAACGGTTGGGTTGGGGGTGTGGGGGGGGGGCCAGCTCTGCCCTGGGCACTGACACTTCTCTCTCCCAGGGAGGGGGCTGTCGCTTCCTGCGCTACAACTGCTCCATCCGAGCCCCCAGGAAGGGCTGGACCCTGATGCACCCCGGGCGGCTCACGCACTACCACGAGGGGCTCCCCACCACCAAGGGCACCCGGTATATCGCCGTCTCCTTCGTGGACCCCTAACTAGCCAATCCTGGCTCCCTCCGACTGTTCCTCCTTGCTGACAACCACTGCCCAGCAGCCCCTGGGGCCTTGGGGTCCCCAGGAACCCGGTTCAGCCTCCAGGCTCTTGACCTCCTGTTGCTCTTGGAATGGCCAGAGACACAGCCAGCCAGAGACACAGCACCCCTGGGGCGGGCCTTTCTGAGGCCTGCAGTCCAGCCCCAGGAGACACGGATCGCTTCCTGTTTTGTGACTCATCCTCCCTGATGAGCCCAGCCCCTCCTCCTCCAGGCTTTCCCAGGGCAGGACTTGAGCAGAGCAGGGCCACCCGCTGCTCACAGAGACTCCAGCTGGAGAAGCCGCCCCCAGAGCGCCTTGGTGGCCTGCAGCTCTGCAGATTCTACTTAAAGCTTTGTGGCGTCACAGAGACCAGAACAGAGCCACGTTCCTACCCTGGGCCTGGGTCTTCTGAAGCCCCTTCCTCCTGGCTCTTGTCTTGAGAGCACAGCTTTGTCCCCTGGAGAGAGCAACTCAGAAAACCTCTCAGGGAACAGAAGAGACATCAATGCCACAGCAGCCACATCCTCTACTTGATCCTGCTGGGGGGGGGGCGGTGACATGTCCACACTGCACTGGGCCACCCTGTCCCAATGCCTCTGGAGAGAGGGACAATCAGAAACAGGACAGTTCTATTAAAGGTTGTTCAGACCACCGAATGGGAGGCACTTGGTGTGGGGGAGTGTGCAGGTGTGGAGGAGAGCTTGGGGGGCAGGTCCGGAGCCCCTGGCTGGTTCCCAAACCCAGTGCCCTGTGGCCTTGGCATTTGTAAACTTCAGAATCCCTTCCCACGAGCTGGGCGCTGGCTGCCTGGAGCGCACTTCTTCCTCTGTCAGGACCTGTATCAGGTGTCACCGCCTCTCTGGAGCCTTTGCTGACCCTCCTTCCTTGAAGCATGAACGTGGGAGAAGTGGTGCTTCCAGTGGCCCCATGTACCCCGGGGCATTCTCTTCTGATCATACTTGAGGGAATGTATCAACCCTAGGAGCTGTGCCTGCTCACCTCTTGCTGTGGCTGGGCTGTATACAGGTCTGGTGCTCAGCACACAGCCCCCCCACCCCAGCATACAGCCCGCCCCCCATTTCCTCTTTCCTGAAGGGGAAAGAGGCTCAGAGAAGCCAGGTAATTGGCCCAAGGTCACGCATAAAGTAAGCGGTTGGGGGGGGGGATTTGAATGATTTTACCACTCAAAACACTTGCCCCCAAGGTATTTGTACTCAGCCCTGGAGGGCAGCAGGGGCAGAAAGAACCAAATACAGTTTGGTGATAAATGTCCCAATGGCTGTAAGAACAAAGTGGAGCAGGAGCCCGAGACCAGTCAGCGAGTATAACCTGATGCTCTCAAATGAGGCTTATTTTGCCTCTTAGGGGACATCTTTTTTGTTTGTCACAACTGCAGAGGGGGTGCCACTGGCATCTAGCAGACAGAGCCTAGGGTGCTTCTACAGTGTACAGGGCAGCCCTACCACCACCACCCCAAAATGAATCATCCATCCCAAAATGTCAGTAACGTGAGGCTGAGGAACCCTGATGCATCTTAGGCTGGACCTTAAAGGGGGAGGAGGGATCCACCAGGCAGAGAGACCCTCGGGGCCTGGAGAACACTGGTTGGTTGGAGTGGGTGGGGTGGCAGTTCAGAGGCCTACTTTCCCAGGTGTCTTAGTCTGCTTTCTGTTACTATAATGAGATACCACAGACCAGGCAATTATAGAGAACAGAGGTTTCCTGAGCTCACAGTTCAGGAAACTGGGAAGTCTAAGATCCTGACCATGTGGTGAGAGCCTTCTTGCTACATCATAACCTGTGAGAGGTCATCATAGGGTAAGGGCCAGAACTATAGGCCACTGATACCATCATGGGAACCCCACCCTCATGACCTCATCTAATTCTAATTACCTTCCAAAGGCCCTAATCCAAATACCATTAACATGACTTTTAGGATTGAACTTGCAACCCTTGAATATTTGGGGGCACATTCAAACCAAAGCACCAGGCTGTGGAGAGCTTGGGTACCTGGAAGGCAGCTGGAGTCATTTGAGGGTTGTGTGTATGCCTTTTAAAGATTTTTAAATTTTGAGTTTTTAAAATTGGCTCATTTTATTTTTTTGAGACATGGTCTTGCTAATTTGCTGAGGATAGCCTCAAACTTGTGATCCTCCCACCTCAGCCTCCTGAGTTGCCAGGATTACAGGTGTGCATGACCACTCCTAGTTCCTTTTTTAATTCTTGAGACAGGGTCTCAGTTGCTGAGGCTGGCCTGGAACTTGGAATTCTGGAATTAAGGTGTGTTCCACCACACCTGGCCAAAGAGCACAAATCTCAGTCTCTCTCACTCCACCCCGCTTCCCAGCTGCCCAGTTCTCTCAAGAACTCACCAGGCTCGTCTGTTTCTTGAATTTGTTTTCCTAGCACGCGGTTTAAATCCAGAACCTTGCACATGCTAGGCTCTCCCACTGAACTACATTCCCATTCCTTTTTATTTTATGCTGAGACAGGCACTCACTAAATTGTCCAAGTTGGTCTCAAACTTGGTGATTTTCCTGCCTCATCCATCTGAGTAGCTGGGATTATAGGTGTGCACTACTATGCGCAGCTTTTGGATGTTCTTGAGCTCATCTGTACATACACAATTGTGTGTGACTGTGTGTGCGCATGTGTGCATTAAAGTTGTTTTTTTTTTCCTGTTTTTTTTTTTTTTTTTTTTGCGGGGGGGGGGGGGGGGGTGCCAGCAATTAAACCCATTGCCTTGCACACTTTAGTCACTTGCTCTACCACTGAACTACATTCCCAGGCCAGGGTTGGTTTTTTTGTTTGTTTGTTGTTGGAACCAGGGATTGAACCCCAGGATACTTAACCTATGAACCATATCCCCAGCCCTTTTTATTTTTTTATTTAGAGACAGGGCCTCGCAAAGTTGCTGCAGCTGCCTTTGGATTCATAATCCTCCTGCCTCAGCCTCTGGAGCTGCTGGGTTTAAAGGTGTGTGCACACCGCACCTGGCCAGGGTTGTTTTTAACTCTAATTTTACTTTTTTTCTGATTATAGATGCAATTCATGTCGACTGAAAAAGTCAACCAGAACAGAAGTAGGGAATGCAGGAAAGAGGCCATCTGCAGCTCCACCAGCCTGCCCTGCGCTTCCCAGTACCACCCTCAGCAGTACCAGGGAGCCTTATCAGAACGGGTTGAAGCAAGGGCTCCACACTTTGGGGTTGTTTCATAGAACCCCCAGGGTCTGAGCAGGGTGGACTCAGAGGTTCCTGGGCCAACCCTTGCAGAGAGGCTTAGAGAAAAGGAGAAAAATGACAGGAGAGATCCTCAAGGCTTCCACCTGACTTAGACGATTCTGCCAAAGGGGAGGGAAATGGAAGTTCCTATCCTCTGAGAATCCTTCAGGGAGGCCAGAGGTTATGGAAGGGGAAACAGTGACAGTAGAAGCAGCTGGTAATTGAGGCTCCTTGCAAGCCATATCTAAGGACCTGGCTACACCCCAAGTCAGGGCTGGGTGTGGCCTCACAGAGTCAGAGGCCCAGGCAAGAGGCTGCCCCTAGGGCAGTGAGGGGGGGACAGCTGCCTCTGACCTACCTCTCAGGAGGCTGATGAGCAGGTTAGTCACCAGAGCCCTGATTTACCTCTTGAGGCTATTTGTGGCAAGATTCTACCCTGGTTAGGGCACAGAAATACAAGGGGAGCCCCAAAGGGAAGGTACTCATCTACTTTTAAATTTTATAAAAGCCACAGTTTATTTAACTTTGTTTTCTTTTTTCCAGTACTGGAGATCAAACCCAGGCCCTCACAAACACTGTACCACTTAGGTACATCCCCAGCCCTTCCAGAAGCCATATATTATTTTAAATCTTTATTTTGCCACGCTGGGGATAAAACCCAGGGCCTTGCACTTGTTAGGCAAGTGTTCTACTACTGCACCATACTTCCAACCCATAGCCATGTTTTTTTTTTCTTTTTCTTTTTCTTTTTCTGTACTAGGGGTTGAACCCAGGGTGCTTTACCACTGAGCTACACGCTGTTACTTAATTTTTTTTTTTTTAGTTTGAGACAAGGTCTAAGCTGAGGTTCTTGCTAAATTGCTGAAGCTGGCTTTGAACTTGTGGTTCTCCTGTCAGCCTCCTGAGTTGATGGGATTATAGGTGTGTCCCACTGAGTCCAGCCCTAGTCCCATTTTTAAGAGTAAAAGAAACAGGTGCATTTAACTCAATTTACACAAAATATTTCAACAAGTCATCACTATAAAAATATTGATATCGTTTCCATTCTTTTTCATATCATGTCTTGGGGCAAATCTCATTTTTCACCAGCATTTCAAGGGTTCAATAGCCACATGTGTCTGGGGCAGGTATTACATAACTTAGGCTTGGAGCCCACTGCTGAGGCTGTTTCCTGCTGTACCCTAGTGCCTGGCACACAATGAGGGGCCTAGTGACTGACATTGGGCTTGGGTAAGCACCCTCTGGGGCTCCTGGGTCTGTCGTGAGGATTAAATAAAAGGATGCTTGTTGGGTATCCAGTTCGGTGATTGGTCCTCAGTTCGAGCCTGATACGTCGAGGCTGCTGTTGTTCTGACTTCCCCAAAGGCAACTGAAGGGCAGCAGGCCCCAGTGTGCTTCTGTCTCCCTGGATGAGTCACTTCACCCTAACGGACTGGTCCTCTTGAGAGCCCTTCTGTACAATTACAAAATGCAAGTCAGGTTTCCAGCGTTGGCAGAAGCTGCGGGGTCAGGATCTGGGGCAAAGAACGAAAGAGCGGGAACATCTAATCCGCGCCTTTGTGTTTTTGGCTCTTGACAGCTCGAGGCCCCGCCCCACCCGCCACGCCCTCCCGGCCCTGGCAGGGACCTGCCGGAACTACAACTCCCATGATGCCTCGGGAACCCCGAGGCTCTGCGTCATCGGCCGGGGACTCCCGGGCGGTAAAACAGCGCGCCGAGACGCCTCTCGATGCGCACAGCCGTGGGTTCCCTGAACCTTAGGAGTAATAGAATCCAACTGGCTGATCTCGAAGTCCACCGGTTCATCCGGGCCGAGCGGCAAGCCCGCGGCGGCTGGTGACGCGCGCACTCCCTCCGCCTCCCCCTGGGTGGCGCCTGCTGGTGACGTTGTGGGTGTGATGGCCGCCGCGAGGCCGGGAAGGTGAAGGTGAGAGGGCGAGCGCGCCGGGGTGGTAGGAACGGCCGGCTCCGGCCCGGAGAGTCCAGAACAGCCTGGCCTGGGCCGGTGGGACGCTAGGGCCCCCAGGGGTCAGGTTCCGGCCGGACGGGCGTCCCCACGCTGCGGCCTCGCCTCCGGCCCGCACGGCCCTGCGAGGAGCCGGTGGGGCGCGGGACCCCGGGCAGGGGCGTGGGGTCCCCTGGCGCTCCCGTCGCCCCGCCTCCCCAGACCCCTGCCCTTTCGGTTTTCATCTGGCCTTCTTTTGCTCAGCGCCTGACAGGTGCCCCGGGTCAGTGCGGGCAGCCTGCCCTGCCCTCCCGCAGCCGCCTCGTACAGCAGCCGGGACCCACTGACTTCCAGTCAGTTCCACTGCTCTTCCCCACCACCCTGCCCCGCGACTCTCGTTGGCAGTTTGTCCTCAAGCCCAGTCCTCGTCCTGGTTGTGCTCCCTCCCCTCCCCCTCTGGACGTGCCTTACGGGGCCGCAGGGCACCTCCCTGGTGCACATGGTTGAACACATGTGTGATCAACCTGCACCTGTGTTGTGTTTTCCCTGGGCCATTTGCTCACATGACAGCCCCGCTCCCCAGTACCTCAATGAGTAAGCTTCCCTCAGGGATGAGTCTGTTTGGCTTTCAAACCTGATTAGACATGTTTTGCACATCAGTTGTTTTCCTCTTTTGGTCACCTGTTGACATCTCCCTTTTCCTTTCCAATAAGTCGGGACAGGTGGAGTCAACACAATCAATAGCCAACCTCGACCTGAGACAGCACAGAGGAGAACCCAAATTCTTTTCGTTTTTTTGACTCCAGCCATGTCCATGATGCCCACCCTGTGAAAAGTCTCTTACCATCCAAAAAGTAAGTGGTGCCTGTGACTTCTGGTGCCCTGGATCAGGGTTCAGTGGGAAGGGGCATGCTGCGCCCTCCCTGGCCCTGCAGTGGCAAATTTCTGGGATGGGGTCCTGCTTGTACAGATCTATATGGTGCTTTGCTACCTGTGTTGAACAAAAATATTATATCTCCTTTTTACTTCGTGGAGGATTTTGCTGGGCCTGTTTAAATGTTGGCAGTTCAGGAACTGGCTGGGATCTCCTGGGCTCCCTGAGGGTAGTCTCTCTCTCCCTTGTTTGTTCTTCTCTACTGTGCTGATTCTTCTCCTCCCGTCTCTGCCCAGCAGAGGTTGGCTCCTTATCACAGCTCTTCTAAGAGTCTGCTCTGCTCCCTTTACCCTGTATACTCTTTTGTTTCAATTTCTCAGCTTCTCCTCTGTTCCAGTTGTGCCAGCAGACGATCCGTGGATCCATTTTATTTTCCCTGCTAGGAGTTGCTGTACATAAAACTGGGTAAGGAGGTGGTGTGGATTCAGGGACTGTGCTTGGGATCCAAACACACCTTGCAGTGAATTTTGCTACTGCCTTGCTTCCACCCCAGATAGCTAATACTCCTCAACTAATAGCCTAGGGCCTGGGTAGAGGCAAAGCTTTTGATCACCTTGAAGTGCTAATAGCAGTTTCCATTCAGAGTTGAGTTTGTTTCCAGTCTTAGGTTAATATCTGTTGTGCCTCTAGCACTTCTGGGGGGTGGAATTAGACTACCAGGATAAATGAACCTTTCCCTAAAGTGTGATCCTCAGAATTTTGAAGGCTGTTAACAAAGAAGAGTTTCTTGACTGAAAAAAAAATTGTGCAATGCTGATCAAATATACTTAAATTGCATTTAAACTGGTCTTCCTTACCAAGGCCTTTACTGTGTTCATGTGTGCCTGTGGAGAGGGGTGGTGGCGTGTGGTGTTGTATAAACTGATTCTAGCATGGAACCCTTTTTACATGGAACATTAGGTATAAATAGAGTTCTGTGGACCATACTTTAGGAAGTACTGCTGTAAACTGTCTGAAACCATAAACTCAAGATCACTTTGAGGCTGTCCTAAAAACCTGGAGTGTGTAATAGACACTGGAATTGGGCCCTCTGGCTCAGTTATGCTTAGATGACAGGTCCCACATGCCTGCAGCAAGCCCTGTGGTGAAATAGGACTATCAGGGCTTTTCAGAGGAGGAACAGGAACCCAGCTGCTCTCTCTGCTCTGGGAGGATAGAGTCAGCAGACAATCCCCTGAGGCAGTGGGGTCTCTATCTTGGCTTTTTTGCACATATTTTGCAACTTTTAAAAAAAATTTTTTAATATTTATTTTTTAGTTTTTGGCGGACACAACATCTTTATTTGTATGTGGTGCTGAGGATCGAACCCAGCGTCACACTCATGCCAGGCGAGTGCGCTACCGCTTGAGCCACATCCCCAGCCCCCATATTTTGCAACTTTAGTTATGTTCAGTTTGCTTTTTGGAAGGATTCAATTTTAGAATCTGAAAGGTTTGTTCAACTCTTTTGACTCATGGAACTCCAAATAGATAACTAAAAACTGCTTTTTATGAAAAAAGTGCATTTGTGTATCTAGAAATGGCAAGTTTAAGGTGGTGTCCTTGGGAGGGTGTTCACTCACTCATCCTTTATCTGACAGTGGTGCAGGAGGAAGGTAGCAATGGAAAGAGGTCGATCGCTCCTCTGTGAAAGACGGGCTCTCTAGGAGCTCAGGGGACACAAGGTGATTAAAAACTAAAAGTCAGATAAGGGTGTGTGTCCTCTATGGAGGACATAATACCCGAGTTGGTGCTAGAAGGACAGCAGGAGTATGTCAGGCTGGTGAGAAAAAGAGTCCAGATAGAGAGGAGAACTAAGTGCAGAATCTTGGCTCGGGAATTAGGAGGGCTGGAGAAATCAGACGGCACGAAGGAGTCAGCAGTTTTAGGAGGGTTTGGGGCATGCTGCTGCAGGTGGGCAAGGGCAGCAGCCTCTAGGCCAGCTGAACTCCAGCAGACCTTTAACCTTGAACCACTAAGCTTTGACTGGTGTGCGTTCCCTTCAATCTTTCACTTACTGAGCACTAATGCTTTTGGTTCATACCCTTTGGGCTTGCAGACCATGATCAGGACTCAAAAGCACCTGCTTCTAAAAGCCTAGCTGTGATCAGGGAACTGGCTTCCTGCAAGCCAGTCACTTCTGGGACCTCGAAGAACTGACCTCTCCAGCTGATCTGTTTGCTTGATAGCCATGGTAGGGAGTGGGGGTGTCTTCCCTGACACCTGGGTGTTCGTGGGGAGAGCCTTATATCTTGCTGGTAGAGTTTATTACTTTTGCTTTAAACAAAAAGAACTCCCTTTGAGCTCTCACTGTGTGCCACCAATTGCTCATGTCATCGTCTTTAGTCTTCTCAGGGTTGATGTGGTATCTTACTTGTACACACGAAGAGTCCAAGGTTCTGAAATGAAGTGAGTTGTTTTTATGGCCCGAGAGGGAACCGGTAGGGTTGTCACCCAGCTGTTACCTGATTTCAGGGTCATATGCATCACTACATCATGCCCCATCCCAGACCCTGTTCTCTTCTCTGTGGCTGGCTTTGCTCCTCTCCTGCCTGCCCACACCCCCTGATTACAGTGTGCTCTCCTTTTCTGTTTGAAGGAGCTGGAGAGTCACTTTGTTTTTAGTTCTCTTTCTCAGGACTCCACTGTCTTTTATTTGGGGGGGGGGGTACCAGGGATTGAACCCAGGGGCACTCAAGCACTGAGCCACATCCCCAGCCCTATTTTGTACTTTATTTAGAGACAGGGTCTCAATGAGTTGCTTAGGGCCTCACTAAGTTGCTGAGATGGCTTTGAACTCATGAGCCTCCCGCCTCAGTCTCCCAAGCCACTGGGATTACAGGTGGGCACCACCTCACTGGACTCCACTGTCTTTTTTAATTAAAAAAAAAAACCAGGCCAGGTACAGTGGTGCACACCTGTAATCCTAGCAGTTTGAGGGGCTGAGGCAAGAGGATCACAAATTCAAAGCCAGTCTCAGCAACTTAGTGAGGCCATAAGCAACTTAGCAAGACCCTGTCTCAAAATGAAAAATATAAAAGGGCTGGAGATGTTCTCGTTGGTTGAGCACCCCTGGGCTCAATCCCAGGTCTCCCCCACCCCCAACCAAAAAAAAAAAAAAAGAAGAAGAAGAAAGCTGTGTGGTTCTATAGTGTCATGGAGGAGGAAGGGGAAACAGTAGTTTCCTCCCAAGGAATCTGTGACGCTGCAAAGAAATTGTATATTTGAGCAACACACGTGGATTCCTGTCTCCCTGTGTGTCTGTGTGTCCTGCCTACCCTTTGGGATGGTTAGTACTTTTGCGGGGAGGGGCGTGATACTTGGAATTGAACTGAACCACATCCCCAGTCCTTTTATTTTTTATTTTGAGATAGGGACTCACTAAGTTGCTTCCGGCCTCACTAAGTTGCTGAGGCTGGCCTTAAACTTGCAATCCTTCAGTTTCAGCCTCCGGAGCTGCTGGGATTACAGGTGTGTGCCTGGCTGGGATCATCAGTTCTTGGGAGCCAGCTTTAGCATTCATCTTTGGGTGCTTTTTTCTGAATGTTTCTTCTGCTTCTTTGCTCGGCACCCTTTGGCACTACTTAGGAGTTTCTTGTGTGTGCTCATCCCTGAGCACCTGTCTCATATTCCAACTAGACACTCAAATCCGGCTGGGCTGCCAGGAGGGTGGCTGGGAATAGAGTGCTACAGTCGGGCACACACAGTTCACACGCTGCCTCTTCCAGGGAGAGGCCTTTACCTTTGACCTCAGGATGGGAGGGCTCTGTGAGGCAGTGGCTCTGTGTGAGGACTCTCAGGAAGACCTGGCAGGCTCCACTTTTGGGGGCAGGGATCCCAGCCATGCCTGGGAGCTACTTTCTCTGGAATATTCACCTCTTGACCTTAGCCAAGACCTCTAGGTCTTTGGAGTCAAGTCTCACAGCCCCTAACATGTTATTGCTGTGAAGGGAGAAAAAAAGTATACAAAGATGCATGTGATTGAGGGAAGCAGGAGAGCACCACCCAGAAACAAGCTGTTAACGCACCTCGTGTTAACAGTGCCTTTCACAAAATAGTAGTTATATAGTTTTTTCTTTGGTTTCCAAATGTTCTATAGCATACATGTGTTAGACTAGGAGACCAATAGATGTTTTCTAAAATAAGTTTTAGAAGTAGGTATTTCTTACTTGAGGATCACTCTTCTTTGTTTCCATCCCTCCAGCAAACAGACAAATCCTGTTAGGAATTAGGGCCACCCGGCTCCTGGACAGCAGAGTGGCAGGGGGTGGGGTGGGAGTGGACATCACTGACTTTGAGCAGCACTTTGCTGACGCTTTTTTTTAGGTGTTACAGTATAAGAGATGAGTCAGATTTCTGTTGCACTTTTCTTCCTTAGACTTGGAGGAGGGCTTCTGATGTCACTCAGGGTTCCACCCCATCACTCTCTGAGGTGCTTGTCAGCTGCTCAGCAGGCGAGGAATGGCCAGTGGTGGGCCTGAACTCAGGGCTGTGGCTCCAGGTGTCTGAGTGCCCTTGCAGCAGGTCAGGAGACTGGCCTGTGTCTTGGGGGCCCCCTTCCTACTCTGATGTGCTGGTTCTCGTCTTGCCATCTCTTGAGTGTATGCTGGTTGCCCCAAATTCCATTTTGGGAGGGGTACCAGGTATTGAACTCAGGGGCCCTTGACCACTGAGCCACATCCCCAGCCCTATTTTGTATTTTATTTAGAGACAGGGTCTCACTGAGTTGCTCAGGGCCTCACTCTTTGCTGAAGCTGGCTTTGAACTCGTGATCCTCCTGCCCCAGCCTCCCGAGCCGCTGGGATTACAGGCTTGTGCCACCACACCCTGCTGGTTGCCCTGTATTCTCGATAGAACTCAGAACTGGTCCTGGCTCTCTTCTTACCCCATGCCATGCCCACAGCTGACTGTCCCAGGTGGCTGTTCCTGGGCTCACTCACACGGTCTTGTCTTGCAGCGCAATGTCCCTGCTTTTCTCTCGATGCAACTCCATCGTCGCAGTCAAGAAGGATAAGAGACACATGGCTGAGGTGAATGCTTCCCCGCTCAAGCACTTTGTCACTGCCAAGAAGAAGATCAATGGCATCTTTGAACAGCTGGGGGCCTATATCCAGGAGAGTGCCACCTTCCTTGAAGGTAAAACTGTCACCTGCTCATCAGGCTCCCTTTGGTCCATTGAGATGGTTAGCAGGATTGGGGAGTGAGGAAGTGCAGCCCTGCTTTTGAGGAACTCATGCCAGGGGGGTCGTCACCCTCCGCCATGCTCTGCTCTTGGAATCCTGTGGAATAGGGCTCCAGGAAGACGTGTGAACTGTCATTTAAGAATTGATTTAAGAATTCTGCATGTTTTGTTTCATTTATCTAAAATGCAAGTCGGTTGAGGCTTGAGAATTGTCCTTGCCTTGGGAGTCACTGAGCAGCTTGTGGTCAACTCGTGTGTTCTCCCTGGCCAGGACTGGCTGCTGTAGTGCCAAGCACTGCCAGGTGTTGGTTATCCCAGACAGTGTGCCCTCTCGTATTTTTAGTCTGGTGACAGGACTGTGAATAGGGAGCTCCTATTACCTCTGCCTTTTCTACTAGTTACTAATTTGAGCCCTGCCTCTAGTTCCTGCTCTACCGGCAGAGAAGGACTGGTTCCTGGAGCCCCATTTGGTCTGATGCCCACTCTGGCCACTAATGTCTCAGGCTCTGGGTCTAGAAGGGCACCATGGCTGCAGGTCCAGGGATCGTCTGAAAACCCAGTAGCTGAGTCTTAACTGCCCTTGGTTTTCTCATTTGAGAATGACAGACTCAGTGAGACCAGGCATTTTTGGAACCCAAGGAATCTAGTGGAGATCCACAGGGCTCACCCCTGGCTCCGGTGGGCCGCCTTCTCCCCATCTTGCCTTTCGTCAGCTGAGTCACTTGGCTTCTCTTGTTTTCCACGCCAAGCTCCTATGTGAGGCTTCCACGAAAAAATCGGGATTGTGTCCATTTTCATCAGCTTGTCTGTGCCCTGCCCTTTGTATGAGACTGATGCAAGAGAAGGTGCTCCCTAAATATTCAAACTCTAGCGGGGCTGGGCTGGGGCTCGGTGGTGGAGCACTCGCCTGGCATACATGAGGCACTGAGTTCAATCCTCAGCACCACATAAAAACTAAATAAAGGCATTGTGTCCAACTACAGCTAAAAAACAAAAACAAAACTCTAGGACTGGGGATGTAGCGTGGAGTAGAGCACTTGCCAAGGAGCCATGTGGCCCTGTGGCCCTGGGTTTGATCCCTATCACCACAAAAAAGTATAGTAATAATAACTTAAAAAACTGAATTTTAAAAGTTTTTTTTTTTTTTCTTTTCTTTTTTGGTACTGAGGATTGAATCCAGGGACACTTAACTGCTGAGGCTGGCTTTGAACTTATGATCGTCCTGCCTCGGTCCCTGGGATCACAGGCGTGCGCCACCACGCCTGGCTTAAAGATGTGTGATTGGAGGGTGGAGTGAGTCCAGCTCACCACCTTTCCATTTGGCAGCAGCTCCGCTGTGCCTGGCCTGCGCTGTCAAAGCTGCTGCTCTTCTGGAGCCCAGAGCACTCAGTCGATTCTTGGGGGGCGGTGTTTATGTGACAAGTGCTTTGATTTCCCTTTTTTTGAAAGTAGACGGCCTGGAGCGATCCCTCCCGGTTGCCATTGCTCTGGGTGGGGAGGGCACCCAGGGCTGACAAGGGCCTGGTGGACTCCTGGCAGTTGCTTTTGTGTAGCCATGTGCTCGAGGGGCGTTGTGAAGGCCATTTCATGTGCCCATATAAGGGAGGAACTTGAGGGGTGGTGACTGGTGAATGGGGTGGGGCTTGTTGACGTGGTCACTTTCTTTGGTGGCATTAACTGTAAGGCAAACTGTGCAGGCTCTGACGTGTCACTTGTCATGCTCTGGATGTTTTGAGAGTGGTCAGGGCAGGGGCCTGTCAGCTTGGTGGTTTGTGGGAGTGTGCCAAGGGGCCAAACGCCATGTCCTCTCCAGCCAGGTGCTGGATGGGATGGGCCAGGATCTTGCTCAGGTGTTTGATTCTGGGATGATCTGCTAGCCTCGTGCCTGCCGAGGCCACTAGGAAAAGCAGTCCTGTGATCTAGGTACCCACTCGCTCAGCCAGCGTGTGAGCACCTGCAGGACACAGACTCAGACAGGTCAGCCTCCCGTAGTAGATGGACAGACAGGTCAGCCCCCAGCAGCACTGTAGAGAAGTTAAGTGCTGAGAGGAGAGAATCCAGGAAGCTGTGGGAATGGAAAAGGGGACCCACTCAGGCTGGAGTGTGTGCCCAAGGGAAGCTTCCTGGGGGCTGAGCCATCTAAGCTGCACCCAAGGCCCAGTAGGAACAGGCCAGGGTGTTCCAAGTTCATCAGTTCATCAGAGTGTGAGAGGGGGTTGGGCAGTGCCCACAGAGCCCAGAGGCTGGTGTTTGGGAGATGGTGAGGTGGAGTGAGAGGCAGTGGGGCGGCAAGAGACCAGGCTGGAGGGGCCAGCAGGACCACTCAGGAAGGACCTTGCACAGTGACGGAGTGGGTAAGAGCCCAGACACCAGGGTCAGGTTTAGATCCCCACTCTGCCATTTACTGACTCTGCCATGTAAGTAAGGAGGACCGAATGCGGCCACATGCACACGGTGCCTGAGACAGGTGCCTCAGCCTGGTGCCAGGGGAGAGATTTGGGGCCCAGGAGCAGCAGCATTCAGGTGCCCCAGTGCCCTCTCGGCCCTTTGACTCACTTGATCCTCACGGTAGTCTCATGAAGCAGGTTTGGCTGTTGGCTTGTGTGCCTGTGGGCACAGAGCTAGGAGGCAGGCAGGACTGGCGTGGGCACCTGGGCGGTCTCGCTCCCACCCGTATTCTTAGCTGCCACCCGGCAGAGCCACAGTAGGGTGCCATCAGGGTGGGCTGGAAGTCCTGGTGAGCACAGCTGCTCGCTGGCCCTTCCCGCCTGTGCCGTGGAGCTCCTGCCCATGCCGTGGCCCGTTTTCATCCCCGCTCCAGACACCTACAGGAACGCAGAACTGGACCCCGTTACGACAGAAGAGCAGGTTCTGGATGTCAAAGGCTATCTATCCAAAGTGAGGGGCATCAGCGAGGTGCTGGCCCGGCGGCATATGAAAGTGGCTTTTTTTGGCAGGTGAGTCTTTGAAGCCTTCACAGCTTCCTGGATGGGAAGAGGAGGTGAGGGGGAGGGAGGGAAGGAGGCAGGCCCTCCGAGCAAGGTCACAGCCAGAGTGTGCCCAGGCAGGGAGTGGAGGGCAGTCCTGAGTTCATTACTCTCTCTCTCTTCCCCCGGTGCTGGGGATGGAACCTAGGCCTCCTGTATGCTGGATGAGCACTCTATCCCTGGGACACATCCCTAGCCCGCATCACTCTTCTGATTTTTATTTTTTTATTTTTGGTTCTAGAGATTGAACCCAGGGGCATTTACCCATTGAGCCACATCCCCAACTCTTTTATCTTTTATTTAGAGACAGGGCCTAGCCAAATTGCTGATGCTGGTCTTGAGCTCACCACCCTCCTGCCTCAGCCTCCCAAGCCACTGGGATTATAGGCATGCACCACTGCTCCTGGCTATATTTTTTATTTTGAGACATAGTTTTGCTAAGTTGCTGAGGCTTGCCTCTAACTTGTGATCACCTTGCTCCGGCCTCCTGAGTTGCTGAGATTACAGGTGTGTGCCACCATGCCTAGCTTTCCTTATTTTATTTGTAAAATATTTATAAGATAAAATGCATCTTTTTGTGCGGGGTGGTACAGGAGAGTGAATCCAGGGCCTCTTGTATACTAGGCATGAGCTCTCTCACTGAGCTATGTCCCTAAACCCTAAATTAACCATTTCTAAGTGTATATTCAGGAGTGAGTGTGTTCATATTATCATATAACCAGTATTCAGAATGTTTTCATCTTACAGAACTGAAATTGTCCCCACTAAACAGTAAGTCCTCATTCTCCCTCTCTCCCAGCAGCCCCCATTCTACTTTCTATCTTTAAGAATTGAACTATTTGGGGCTGGGGATGTGGCTTAAGCTGTAGCGCGCTCGCCTGGCATACGTGCGGCCCGGGTTCGATCCTCAGCACCAAATACAAACAAAGATGTTGTGTCCGCCGAAAACTAAAAAAAAAAAAATATTAAAATTCTCTCTCCCTCTCTCTCTAAAAAAAAAAAAAAAAAAAAGAATTGAACTATTCTGTATGTGCCCTGCCCTTTGTATGAGATTGGTGCAAGAGAAGGTGTACCCTAAATATTGAAACTCTAGGGGGGCTGGGCTGGGGCTCAGTGGTAAAGCGCTCGCCTGGCATGCAAGAGGCACTGAGTTCAATGATGGTGCACACCTGTAGTCACTGGCCTCAGCAACTTAGCAAGGCCCTAAGCAAACTAGGGAGACCCTGTCTCGAAATATATCAGCCAGGCAAGATGGTGCACACCTGTAATCCTAGTGACTTGGGAGGCTGAGGCAGGAGGACCACAAGTTCAAGGCCAGCCTCAGGAACTGAGTGAGACTGTCTCAAAATTAAAAAAAAATAAAAAGGGCCGGGGATGTAGCTCAGTATTAGGCACCCATGGGTTAAATCCCCCAGACCAAAAAAAATAAGAATTTGACTATTCTGGGTTCCTCATGTGAGTGGAATAGCACAGTCCTTGTCTTTTGGTGATTCCTTCATCTCACTTAGCATAGTGTCCTCAGAGTTTTCCACGTTATAGTTGTGTCAGAATTTCCTTCCTGTCCGAGGTTGCTGCTCTTCTTCTGTGTGTGCAGACTGAGCTTTGTTTATGCGCTCATCTGTCCGTGCACTCCTGGGCTGCTTCCACCTTTTGGCCGTGATGAGTGACGCCGCCTTGAACATGGGTTTTATCTAGTCCCTGCTCTCAGTTCTTTTAGGTGTACATAGAAAGGGAATTACTGGGCCATATAGCAATTGTATTTTTAAAAAATTTTTCTTTAGTTGTAGATGGACACATACCTTTATTTTACTTATTTATTGTCATGTGGTGCTGAGGATTAAAGCCAGTGCCTCACACATGCTAGGCAAGTGCTCTGCCACTGAGCTACCACCCCAGCCCTAGTAATTGTATTTTTCCTGTTCTGGAGAACCACTGTACTGCAGGAGCGACTGTGCCATGGCACATTTACACCTGCAGAGCAGAGCACAAGGACTAGGTTTCTCTAATTTTTGCCAACACTCCCCCACCTACATACAGCTGAGGATAGAACCCCGGGTGCTCTACCACTGAGCTACATCATTAGCTCTTTTTATTTTTTACTTTGAAACATGATTTCACTTTATTGGCCTTGAACTTTGTGATCCTCCTACCTTAGGCTCCAGTGTAGCTGGGATGCTCATGAGCTCACACACACAGACCTCCACCTCAGCCCGCCCACCCAGCCCTGCCCTGTTCTGGTTTTCAATTACCACGTGTGAAGTAATATTGCATTGTGGGTTTTGCTGTGTTTGAGATGGGGCCTGCTGTATTGCTTAGGCTAGTCTTGAACTCGGGGGCCTTAGTAATCCTCCTACCTTGGTGCTGGGACTGCAGGCCTGCCAGTGTGCCTGCCTCCCATTGTGAGTTTGGAGTTTTTTGGGGTTTTGGTGCTGAGGATTGAACCCAGGGCTCATGCATGCTGCACAAACACTCTCCCCAGCCCCTCCCTAGCCCCTCCATTGTGGGTCTGATAAGCATTTCTCTAATGAGGGGTGGTGTTGAGCGTCTTCATGCACTTACTGGCCATTTGTGTATCTTCTTTGGAGAAATTCCATTCAAGCTCTTCACTTATTATTGAGCTGAAGGACCTTTGAGGAACACTCTGTATTGGTAAAATATTTTTTTCCATTCCACGCCTACTCAGTTGATTGTATCCTTTGGTGCAAATAAACTACTATTTCAGTGTAGTTTAATTTGTCTATTTATATTTTTTGACTGTATTTTTGATGTTATATCTAAGCAATAATTGTCAAATTCAGTGCCATGAAGCTTTTCTCCTATTACAAGAGTTTTATTTTCAGCCTCTTATTACACTGTGGAATCTAGAAGACACTTAAAAAAAAAATCAAAATCCAATACTGTGGAAAGGCCCCAAGGCATATTGGATGCCAGGCACACGGTGGTAGCTGAGGGAATAGGCCCTGTGGCCTTGGTGTAGCCCCCAGCTCTCCTGGCCTCCCAGTCCTTCATTCTCACCTCCCTTTGACCAGGAGCAGTGCTGGTCTTGCTGCATGCAGGAAGGCCCATGTGGCTCCGAGGTGTGTGATGTGGCTGGGAAGCCTCTGCTCTGCTCTGAATGAGCGTGAGTGTGTGTAGCATTTGGGGAGCTGTGACACCCAGAGTGGACAGGACACTGAGGAGAGCCACCTTAAGCAGAATTTGGAAGTGGGTGGGAAAGGTGGAAAGATGAAAGAGTCTCCCCTGCAGCCGGGCACTCACAGCTGGGATGGAGAGGTGGGGCCTCGTGGGAGGAGGAGCATGGTGGGAAAACAGCAGCCAAACAGGCCCACGTGGAAAACAAGTCTGTGAGGTCTCTGGCGATGGGGGTCTTTGGCCAAGCTCATTTAGACCAAGGAAGACGGCCCTGAGACAGAGGCCATGGTGTCAAAGGGAGTGCCTTGTGTTCAGAGAGGGGCGTCTCCATCAGGGCTGCTGAGCTACTTCTTCTTTTTTTTTTTTTTTTTTGAGAATTTTAATATTTATTTTTTAGTTTTCGGCGGACACAACATCTTTGTTTGTATGTGGTGCTGAGGATCGAACCCGGGCCGCTCGCATGCCGGGCGAGCGAGCTACCACTTGAGCCACATCCCCAGCCCCAGGGCTGCTGAGCTACTTCCTTAGCGGAGCTGGGTTATTATCCAAGGGCAGTTTGCCTGGGGGGGGCAGCACGTGGCACAAACCCCTTGCACATCTGAAGTGATGAACTGGGGCACGGCACAGGCTCCAGCCAAGGGGCCTTGCCTATTTCAACAAACCCTAGGATCCTCTCTGCCTCTCTTGGTGCTACCTGGGCGTCGGTGGCATTGCAGAGAACAAGTCCCCAGACCTCCTGCTCAATAACTGCATGTGAAAGCCAAACCTGTGGCTTCTCTGGGCTTCACTGACAGCCTTTATTGCCTCCTAGGACGAGTAATGGGAAGAGCACTGTGATCAATGCCATGCTCTGGGACAAGGTTCTGCCCTCTGGGATCGGCCACACCACCAATTGCTTCCTGCGGGTGGAGGGCACAGATGGCCACGAGGCCTTCCTGCTCACGGAGGGCTCAGAGGAGAAGAGGAGCGTCAAGGTGGGTGCGCTGCTGAGGCAAGGCTGGCCCAACCAGCCCATCCATGTGACAGGCTGGCGCCACCTCCCAGAAGAGAGCCACGCCTCCCAGTGGTGAAGATGGGAAACCCTGTTTCAGAGGAGAGAGCAGGCACTGGAGAGGGCGGGAAGGCGGGAAGGTGGAGAGAGCGCCAAGCAGCTACCGTGCACGCCCGGCCCTCACCAGGGCTCACTGCACTAGGCAGGAGGGGAGTGAGGCCGCTCCTCCCGGGGTACCCCAGTGAGAGCTTCCTGGGTGGCTGTAGGATTCCCACACCCATCTGGGGTTGTCGCACTTTGATTCTTCTGAGTGGCAGCTGCATTCTCACTCGGGGCCAGGTGCTCGCTATGATTCATAAAGGATTAATCCATGCGCAGCGCATGCAGCTAGGCAGCTGTCGGGAAACAGGCTTAGAGAGAGGAGAGGAGGCGGTTCTCACAGGTGGCTCCCAGCTTTCAACTTTATGTGTTAAATGAGGAAAAGGAGCAGCCCATGGGCAGCCCTCCCAGGCTCCGGCACCAGAAGTGGGCCTGGGCTCTTCCTTGGCCTCATCTTTCTTTCCTCCTCCACCGTCAGACTGTGAACCAGCTGGCTCATGCCCTCCATCAGGATGAGCAGCTGAACGCTGGCAGCCTGGTGAGTGTGATGTGGCCCAACTCCAAGTGCCCACTTCTGAAGGATGACCTTGTGCTCATGGACAGGTAAGAGGGGAGGAGCCTGGAGGTCCTGGTTTCCCTTTCTGCATGACCCAGGCCCAAGGCCCCAGCAGTCTTTGCTCTGCTCAAGCACTGCTGCCTTTCAGAGGCTCAGCTAGTCCTGCCTCTTGGCTCTCCTCCAGAGCTGGACTGTCATACCCACTGGTATCAGTGCCCTGCACATGTCCTGTTCAACAGATGGGTGGAGAGCTCAAAAGTGGGGAAGGCCCTCAATCCATCCCAGTATTGAGGTGTGTGTGGGCGAGTGTGTGTGGTGGGAGTTGGGGTGCTTCATTCTTCTTGACACCTTTGCCCCAGCTATGGACAGGTTCCAAAACTGTACCAGGAAATACAGCATTGCTGCACTTACCTGGACTCTCATAGATATAAAAATTCACTTTAATATCTATCCCTAGAATAAAATCATAAGTCATTACTTTTTTTTGGTACTCAGGGGCACTCGACCACTGAGCCACATCCCAGCCCTAGTTTGTATTTATTTAGAGACAGGGTCTCCCTGAGTTGCTTACTGCCTCACTGAGGCTAACTTTGAACTTGTGATCCTCCTGTCTCAGCCTCCTGAGCCACTGGGATTACGGGTGTGTGCCACTGTGCCCGCCATAGCCATTACATTTTTATAAGTGTGACAGATGTGTGTGCTAAAAAGACGTTTCCAGGCAATCTGGAACGACATGAAGTGGGAAGTGAAAGTTCCCCCAAGAAGGCCAGACCTTCTTCCTCTCCTCCCTGGCTTTCTCTTCTCTGGAGGCTGCCTCACAAGACCCAGATTTGTTCACAGCAGGAAGAACAGGGCTTGTGCTCTGTGGCCGACCATGTTGGTTTACCCCTGTCACCTTTAGCCCTGGAATTGACGTCACCACAGAGCTGGACAGCTGGATTGACAAATTTTGTCTGGATGCTGACGTGTTTGTGTTGGTGGCCAACTCAGAGTCCACCCTGATGCAGACGGTAACCCTCCTTTGCCTTCTCCACGGTCCTGGCTGGGCAGGTGGCTGGTGGGGCCTTGGCTTGGCACAGCTCCTCCCCCTGAGGCTCACCCCCTTGTCTAGGAGAAGCAGTTCTTCCACAAGGTCAGCGAGCGTCTCTCCCGCCCCAACATCTTCATCCTGAACAACCGCTGGGATGCGTCTGCCTCGGAGCCGGAGTACATGGAGGAGGTTGGTACCTCTTGGCTGCTCAGGGGGTAGCACTCTGTGGGAGCTTTGTCTACCCTGGCCACCTCATGCACCAGATATAATGGCTTCCCTGAATTAATTTCTCACCAACGATTGCCCGGTGTTCCCTGTGGTATCTTCTGATGGCATTGAAAGCTCCCTTCCCCTCTCCTGTTCACTTTCTTAGATGACCCTTGTTGAGTGGCTCTCCCCCAGGTCTGAAGACATCCCCCAACTCTGCGTCCTTGGGGCCGTGTTTGCTCATTTGGGTTCATTAAAACACACACGGGCTGGGTTAGCTCAGTGGTAGAGATCTCACCTCGCGTGCGGAAGGCACTGGGTTCAGTCCTTAGCACCACATAAAAATAAAGGTATTGTGTCCATCTACAACTAAAATAAAATCTTTAAAACACACACACACACACACACACACACACAGTAAATGTGGAATAGGCACAGCCTTAGGAAGACATCCGACATCCAGGAGAGAAACTTTAAAAAAGGAGAGGGTGATGGGTTCTGCTGACAGCTCACAACTCTTTAACTTTATGTGTGAAATGAAAGAAAGGGCAATAGATTGGTGATTTGGGATTTCCTTTGTGGAGCCTGCAGTCAGCAGATGGGAGTCCAGATTTTGGCTGATGCAGGGCAGTAATCCAACCTCCCCCTGTGGGACAGGTATGATAAGTATTGCGGGGAGGATACCTGTTAAGAGTGCCCTACGTGTGTCTACGAGAGGCTGTTATTTATTTTGTGGTGCTGGGGATGGAAACGGGCCCTGTGCACTATAGGCAAGTGTCCTACCGCTGAGCCACTTCCCCAGCCCTACTTATCCCTGGAGCCCTAGGACATCAGCGCTGGGAGGGCTTTTCTAGTGGTGCCACTCACTGTATGAACGAGGCCCTGGGAAGTCTCAGCTGGTCAGGGCGGAGAACCAGGTTTAGGTTCTTGACCTCCTAGTTCCTTTCTTCTGGGGCACCAAAGTGTGACACTAGATAGAGTCTGACAAGAGGCAATTTGGGGCCTTTCTAAGTGTTTCTGCTTGTACACATAAAGTGTCCTTGTGAGGCCATACCCCAAGACACTCCCACGATAACATTTGGTTCTGGGAATTGTGGTGGCTGGAGAGCAGAGATGGGGTGATTTTCACTGTTTATGTCTGTACCTTTTGAGAGTTTGTACCTTTTGAGAGTCATGTGAACATATTACCTATTTTAAAAAAAGGCAGTGGGGACTGTGGGCACCATCCGGAGGGGCTCACCTGCAGCCCACCATGGTCACATATGCCCCTCTGCTTGGGGTCCAGGTGCGGCGGCAGCACATGGAGCGCTGCAGCAGCTTCCTGGTGGATGAGCTGGGCGTGGTGGATCGAGCCCAGGCTGGGGACCGTATCTTCTTTGTGTCTGCCAAGGAGGTGCTCAACGCCCGGATCCAGAAGGCCCAGGGCATGCCAGAAGGAGGTAACGCAGCTGTGTTCAAGGTGGCGGGTCTTGCAGCAAGTCAGTAGGTGGCAGTCACTCTGGGGTTGGGTTGGTGAGAAGAGCCTGTGGGAGAAGACCTTGCTGTCCAGCCAGTGTCCTGTGTGGTCGTAGTTGTGGCCCCTGGGTTCCCCCTTTCTCCTGCTGTCAAGCATTTCCTCGCTAATGCAGTGCAATTCTCCTAGGGGGCGCTCTTGCAGAAGGCTTTCAAGTGAGGATGTTTGAGTTTCAGAATTTTGAGAGAAGATTTGAGGTAAGTCCTCTGATCCTGGTTTCTGGTGATTCTCCCAAGCTCTCCCGGGATGTTCCCTGGGGCTGTAGACCCTAGGTGGCCCCCGCCTCCCTCGGGCTTCTTTCGTTCCAGGAGTGCATCTCCCAGTCTGCAGTGAAGACGAAATTTGAGCAGCACACAGTCCGGGCTAAGCAGATTGCGGAGGCGGTTCGCTTCATCATGGACTCCCTGCACATCGCGGCTCAGGAGCAGCGGTGAGAGCCCAGGAGCGCAGACAGGCAGAGAGGGCGCTGAGGAAGGAGCGGTGGCGCTCCGTCCCACCCGGGTCCCTGATGGCAGGCTGGCTCTGGGTTCCTGCCAGATCCCTTCAAGCCTGGTGAGGCGGGCCTCTGAGTGTCTGATTGTGCCTCCTGGCTTGTGCAGGGCCATCCCCTTTGGTGGAGATCTCAGCTGTTGTCCTGCCTGGTACTGTCACCAGTCTCAGTGCCTGAACGTTTTTTTTTTTTTTTTCTTTTTGGAACCAGGGATTGAACCTAGGGGGCTCAACCACTGAGCCACAACCCCAGCCCTTTTCATTTTTTATTTTAAGTTAGGGTCTCACTAGGTTGTGTACAGCCTCATAAGTTGCATCCAGCCTGAACACATTTTTAAAAAACTTTTAAATTACTTAAAAAAAAAAAAGCACAGAGAATAATATAAAAACACCTTGCTTCTGCCACAGTTAACATTGTTGATTTATGTTAAAACGGAAAAGGGTGTTAAGTACCCTTTGATCTTTGACCCTTTCCACTCCTCAGGGGCTCCACAGTTATGAATCTGTAGTCCCCTCACTTGTTTACAAACTACTTTTTAGCTGGGCATGGTGGGTCATGCCTATGAGCCCAGCAACTCACAAGACTGAGGCAGGAGGACCGCAAGGTCCAGGCCAGCCTCAGCAACTCAGCCAGGCCCTGTCTCAAAAACTAAACAGGCTGGGTGTAGCTCGGTGGTAGAGGCCCTGGGGCCCACCAGACAGGGCTCTGCATCAGTCTCACAGGACAGATGGGTGGCTGCCCATGTGCTGGTGTGCCTGTGCCTCTGCTGCGCCTTGCTCCTTCCAGGCAGCGTTGTGTCCCCTCGTCCTTGTCGGAGCTCGTGTGAGTTCCTGAGTGCTGATCGCCATAGGGAGTTCCACTGTGGATATACCTCATTTTCCTGGGTTGATATTTTTTTAGGCTTCACTTTCCTTATGCCCTTGCAATTTCTGCCGCAGGGCCGCGTGCCTGTGCGTGCTTGCTCGCTTTCCTAAGTCTTTCTAGGACCGATTCCTAGAGGTGCAGCTGCTCTGCCATAGGGTGGGTGTGTTTTCGTTTTTACTCAGCTTGGCTTTGTTGCTATTTCCCCAGTGTCCCCCCAACACTGCCTGTGACAACTCCCACTTCCGCAGCTCTCCCCACAGCTCCAGGCCTGACCGCTTTTCCTAGGCATCTGGTGGAGTGTAGTACCTCTTTTTAATTTCATTTCCCTGCTTACCGGTGAGGTCAGCACTTTTTCCACATTACTCAGCAGCACCTTTTCTAAACCCCCTTTAGTCTTCCCCTCTTTGTCAACATCTCTCTAACAAATGGAAGATCGGGGAGCACGTGGTTGACTCCCTCTTGCCTGGGAGGGAAGCTCGTGCCTCTGTGTGTGCGTGAAACCTGCCCGGGCAGGATGGCGGGTGGCCCATGCTGCCTCCCAGGGGCCCTCATACTCCCGCCTTGTGGCACGTGGCCTTCTGACTGGTGCTCTTTGCTTGTAGTGTTTACTGCCTGGAAATGCGCGAGGAGCGGCAAGACCGGCTGAGGTTCATCGACAAGCAGCTGGAGCTGCTGGCCCAGGACTATAAACTTCGAATTAAGCAGATTACCGAGGAGGTTGAAAGGCAGGTGAGACTCGAGGAGGAGGCACTTGGGGGAGATTTCAGTGGCATCCAGGGTATAAGTCTTTCTAGGACTGATTCCTAGAGGCGCAGCTGCTCTGCCTTAGGGTGCCTTGTCAATTCATCTTGTCATCTCAGGGGCTTCTCAGCTTTCCAGGAGGAAGTTAAGGGTATGGAGCTTCCCTGGGGTTCCGTTGTCCACTGTGTGACTCCTCCTCTAGGTGTCTTCCATGCCTGATGGGAGATTGATTGACCTGCTTCTCAGATTGTAGATGAGCCAAGGTGCTGCTGGGAGGGGAAACCGTCTGCGAGACTCTGAGGCTAAGGGACCGCAATGCTCCCTGGTGCTCAGCAGCGCGCTTCCTCTGCTGTAGGTGTCGACTGCGATGGCCGAGGAGATCAGGCGCCTCTCTGTGCTGGTGGACGAGTACCAGATGGATTTCCACCCCTCTCCAGTGGTCCTCAAGGTCTATAAGAATGTGAGTCATGAAGCAGCGGTGCTCTGGCCGGGACCCCCTGGATTCTCTTTGGTGGGGGGTGAGTGCCACGCTGATGGCAGTTCAGCTCCAGCTGTTCTGCAGCAAAATGGAAGGAAGCAGGGTCACAGGAGCTGGGCTGCCTCACCTCCTTGGCTTTCATGGTGAGCCTGGGTGACCAGACTCAGGGTCTCCTTGTTCTTTGGCCTCCCGGAAGGAACTCTGACGGGGATGCCTCTTCTCTTAACCTCCCTCTCCTGCTGCAGGAGCTGCACCGCCACATAGAGGAAGGGCTGGGCCGCAACATGTCCGACCGCTGCTCCACGGCCATCACCAGCTCCCTGCAGACCATGCAGCAGGACATGATAGGTTAGTGCCCCAGAGGAGCTTGGGGCTGGGGTTCTGGGGCTGCCTAGGAATCAGGCCAACGTGGAGAAATAATGGCCTTTCCTTCTCTGCCACCTTTGATGACGATTCACTTGGTACCTGTACACTCCTGGTGTGCGCTGTGGGTTAACTCACTCTGCTCCTAGACCTGGGAACTGCCCTGAGTTACCAGATAGGATTGCCATAGGCAACAATTTGGCCTGCTCCCATAACCCACATGAGGCATGGGGGTAGCAGGTTTGGAGCCTTCAGTTACACAGGGAAAGATGGCCCATCTGTCATGGTGAGGTATTCCCCCAGGCTGACTCATCCTGGGTGTGGACGAGTCCTGGGAGGGACTGCTAAGCAGCCTTCACTGGTGTGGCCTTGGTCCCTGGGGCTTGGCACTGGGTGGCACAGTCCCAGCTGATGTGCTTTCTCCCTGTGTGTTTGTGTCCCTGACAGATGGCTTGAAGCCCCTCCTTCCTGTGTCTGTGCGGAGTCAGATAGACATGTTGGTCCCTCGCCAGTGCTTCTCCCTCAGCTACGACTTGAACTGTGACAAGCTGTGTGCTGACTTTCAGGAGGACATTGAGTTCCACTTTTCTCTTGGGTGGACCATGCTGGTGAACAGGTTCCTGGGCCCCAAGAATAGCCGGCGGGCCTTGGTGGGCTACAGTGACCAGGCAAGCAAATTCCCTACCCCAGGCGTCCCCCAGGCTGTCAGCTATGGCAGTGTGTACCACCCCTGGGACACCGCAGTTAACACTACTGCCACAGACCAACCCGGCGTTGTCCTAATTTCAAATGCTAAGATGATTTTTTAAAAATTCACATTAAAACAAGTAGGTAACTGCCAAGAGGAGGTGACTTTTCACATAGTCATCTATACTGCCATCGTAAAACGTAGACTTTAATCCCCACCCGGAGCCCGTGCATCCTGGCTTTCCATTCATGCCCCACACTTTGGAAACAGCTGCTGCGGGCCGGCATGGCTGCTGCTCCCGTCCTGCGGCCTCTGGTGCTGAACTCGCCAGGGCCATCAGGAGGCGTAAAGCCTCCTCTGTGAGGTGCAGAGCTCATTTCCCCTCTTTTTGCCTCTTGGATGTTGAAGAACTGTTCTCTGTGTCCCTGTCCCAGCTCCTCTAGCCTTGAGGGTCACTGAGGCTTTTGAATGTGAGGTTTGTCACATTCTTCTCACTCTTTGCCATCTCTTTCCTCAGGTTCAGCGTCCCGTCCCTCTGACGCCTGCCAACCCCAGCATGCCCCCCCTGCCACAGGGCTCGCTCACCCAAGAGGAGCTCATGGTCTCCATGGTCACGGGTTTGGCCTCACTGACGTCCAGGACTTCCATGGGCATTCTCGTGGTTGGAGGAGTGGTCAGTGATGAGTCTTGCTTGGAGTGGGATGAGGGGCCTGAGGGCAGGGTCTGAGGAGCTTTGTGCTGGAGGTGGCCTCTGTACTGGTCCTCGCTTCACAGTGAGCTGAATGCTTTCTATGGGAGCTGGGGCCTGAGCCCTTCAACATACGTTACTGGCCTCTTTAAGCCTCACTCAGTAATCAGGTGTTTAGCTGGCACCATTCCCACTTCCCAGATGAGGAAAATCCGCAGTGGCTTAGTACAGCTGGGATTTGAGCCATGCCCCATCTGACTGCAAGGCCTGGGTCACACAGTGAGTAGGGGAGTGACCTGAGGCATTAAAAACCTGGGCTCTAGAGAACTAGGCTTGAAAAAAAGGGTTCCTCATTAGCAGGTGGGAACTTGGAAGTGCTTGAGATGGAAAGAAGACATGCTGGACCTGGAGCCGATTCTCTCCTCCTCCTGGTTTTGTGGCCCCTTCCTTTCCACTCCAAAGTAGCTGGGCTTCTCCACTCCCTGAATGAAGACACACTGCTGCTGGAATCATTTACACCTGAGATTTTCTTGATGCTCTGGCAGGTTCCTTCCTGGACATTTGACAGTGGTGGCAGAGGGTGCTTGTCATGAACATTGCCAGAAATTGCTTTCCCCAAATGTAGGACAGGCGGGACACAGCAGAGCCCCTTCCCTGGGACTGCAGGCAGCGGGTGCTCTGGTTCCTTTCTCAAGATGGTGATGACTGTGGCAGGAGGGTCACAAGCTGAAACGTTGATACCTGGCAGTCTTGTCCACCCAAATAACCTGCTAAGTGGACACAGACCATAGGCCTCTTTGGTGAAAGAGGAAACTGTATAAGGGGAATGGCCTGGGTCCGCCCAGCAGGGACAGCGGGCCACAGGAGCCTCACTGTCTGGCTGTCCCCAGCTCCTTGGTGCAGCCTCATGGCCTTCAGCCATGCCGTTGCACATCAGACCCAGGGAAGCCATCTGCCCAGGTGCTGCACACAGCCCTGCTTGTCAGTGTCACCACAGTGAGCTGTTACGCAAGCCAGCTGCAGTGGAGCAGTAGCTTGGGAGGCTGAGGCAGGGGGATTGCAAGTTCAAAGCCAGCCTCAGCAACTTAGCAAGATTCCAACGCAACTCAGCAAGACCCTGTCTCTACATAAAATATACAAAAGGGATGGGGGATGTGGCTCAGTGGTTAAGCACCCTGGGTTCAATCCCTGCTACCAAAAAAGGAAAAAAAAAAAAAAAAAAAAAGCACATCAGCATTTATCCTTAAGGCTTCTGCTCAATAGTGGTAGAGTGCTTGCCTAGCTTGTAGGGGGCCACGGGTTCAATCCCTAGCACTGGGGGGAAAATAATCTGCCTGCTTAGATCTGGGCTCTGGTCCACCCTATGTGAGTCTTGTCGTGGCCAACACTGTTTCCCTCCCAACTGGAGAGAGTCCTTGCCCTCTTGGCCTCAGTGGGGTCAAAGGAGCCATTAAAAGAAGGCTTCCAGGGGCTGGGATTGTGGCTCCGTGGCAGAGTGCTTGCCTAGCATGTGTGAGGCACTGGGTTCAATTCTCAGCACCACATATGATATAAATAAAGGTCCATCAACATCTAAAAAAATATTAAAAAAAAAAGCTTCCATTGGGCACAGTGGCACACTCCTGTAATCCCAGCAGCTCAAGAGGCTGAGGCAGGAGGATCGTGAGTTCAAAGCCAGCCTCAGCAATTTAGCGAGGTGCTAAGCAACTCAGTGTGACCCTGTCTCTAAGTAGAAATAGGGCTGGGGATGTGGCTCAGTGGCTGAGTGCCCCTGAGGTCAATCCCTGATAAAAAAAAGAAAAAAAAAAAAAGGGGGAGCTTCCTAGTGTGACACTAGGCTCCTTGACTGGGGCTCTTTGGGCAGTCCTGGGAGTCTGGGCCCAAAAGGACAGGGGCTGGGGTCAAAGGGGCTCTGCCCTGGGTGACCATGTGCCCCTGCAGGTGTGGAAGGCAGTGGGCTGGAGACTGATTGCCCTCTCCTTCGGGCTGTATGGCCTCCTCTACGTCTATGAGCGCCTGACGTGGACCACCAAGGCCAAGGAGCGCGCCTTCAAGCGCCAGTTTGTTGAGTACGCCAGTGAGAAGCTGCAGCTCATCATCAGCTACACGGGCTCCAACTGCAGCCACCAAGTCCAGCAGTAAGCCGTCCCAGGGGCCTGGGGAGGACTCCACTCCGGGTGGGTCAGCCCAGTCTTCCTTCTGGTGGGTTGAGTGTCATGGACCCTGGGTCTTTAGCCGGGCAGTGCCAGCTCAGGCCAGGGTAGGGACAGAGGTCTCAGGACATAGGTCTCTGGTCTCCGAAGGAAGGAAGAAGAGGGAAGAGGGAGGACACGTCTCTTGTCAAGGAGTTTTTTAAGGTTGTCCTGGGGAGGTGACTGTGGGTGTAGCTTTGAAATCCTAGATGGCAGCCTATTCTTCACGGCACCTTGGGGTTGGGGCCTGCTGCCTGCCCTGGGCTGGTAGGGGGTAGGCGTGCCTGCGTCCTCCTCTCTTGCTGTGTGGCAAACCTTTTGCTGGTCATTTTGCACCTAACTTTTTGTTTACTTTTCTAATCTTTGAGGTAGATAAAATTATCTGCATCTCCTTTTTCAAAATAAGGAAACACATTTGAAGAATAGTCCCTTGTTCTAGGCCACTTGGCTGATTAGCGGCAGAGCCGGGCTCTGAATCCCAGAGCTCTTGCCCAAACCGTGACCTCTGCTCTGTGCTGCCACTTCTCCTGGCCATGGCGATAACAAAGGGCTTGGAGTTAGGGTCGGTCACATTTCAACAGAGGCTCTGTTGAAATGACTCCACCGAACTGGGATGGCAGGGTAGGGGCAGGGTAGGGGCAGGCCCAGTGGCAGCCCACCTGGAGTGGCCTGGCCACCAGTGGCGTCCTGCCTGATAGCTGCATGCCCAGTGACCTCACCTTTCTCCCTCAGGGAGCTGTCTGGGACCTTTGCTCATTTGTGCCAGCAAGTTGATGTCACCCGGGAGAACCTGGAGCAGGAAATTGCTGCCATGAACAAGAAAATTGAAGTTCTCGATTCACTTCAGAGCAAAGCCAAATTGCTCAGGTAAGGTGGGACCCTGGGACTCCGCTGCTGTCTCTCAGGGACACAGACCTCTCTGGAGGGACCTTAGCCACACGTGTTAGATGTCTGCCAGGCGCTGCTGAGTGCCAGGCTCAAGACAGCATCACTGCCTTTGAGGCACCTGCAGTTGGGGCAGGACATGGTGACCTCCTAGGAAGGAAGCTGAAGGGGAGCATGTGATGGCCGTTTCTGGGCACCTGTGGGCACTGCGGCACCTCAGCACTTCATGGCTGCTGTTTCATGAAGCCGCCACTGTGCCCTCGGGCACGTGTTGGTAGCTCCATTTCTAAGCAGGACACTGCCTGTAGAGGTTAGTCCTGGTCTGGGCTCCCACAGGAAATGGTCGGGCGAGGCCGGGCCCAGGTGTGCATGGTGGTAGCAGCCTCCATGCTGGGTGCTGATTTTCCATGCACACGCCAGACCGCCACCCGTGTGTGGTCAGGGTTTCTGAGCCCAGGAAAGGGGCGTGCTACCATGTTCACCCACAGGGGCAGGATTGGAACCCAGATTTCCAGGTGCTTCACTGAAAGGCAGAGCTCCCATTAGCAGTTTTCCGGAAGGAGCATCAGTCAGAGGAACCAGGGGTCCTAGCTTCTGGCCCAGCACTCAGCTTCCCTGTGTGTCACTGTTTTCATCTGTGAAGTAGGAGTAGGAGCTCACGGCAGCCACAGCTGAGGACGAACGTGCCCTGTGTCAGTCCTTGGCTGGTGCGGCCCATGATAACATCAGCACACAGGGACCCTGTACTTCCTGCCCTCGCCCTTGACATCAGAGGCCTGTGGGGTGGCAGAGCCAAAGGGGTGGCACTTCAAAGGGTTTCAGCTCAGGCCCCCTCACTGGTGGCGGACTTTCCCTTGCCGTGTAGACATGTGCCTCCCCATCCACCACCCCGGAACGTCATCTCCCAGGGACATGCTCCTCTCTGGAGTGCAGGAGGGGGGCGCACTCTGCTGCTTTTCAAAGCCAAGGACAGGGTCGCTGCAAAGGGCCACAGATAGTGCCCCATCTTCTTGCTCATTAGCAGACACGCTGACTCCAGCAGCTCAGGGACTTGCCCTGGGCCGCACAGCAAACATGGGGCCTGAGAGGCAGAAAAGCCTGACTCCACTCCGTCACTGGGGATCTTGGGAAGCCATCTCCCTCTCTGGGCCCCCTTTCCTCCTCTGTGCTGGGGGGTTGATAAGGGTATTGGAGGATTAAATGAGGCTGCCAGTCACTTGTCATTGCATGTAGCTAGTGTCACTGTTACCTGTCCACAATTGTCATTGTTAAAAATGACTATGTCTTTGCAGGAATAAAGCTGGTTGGTTGGACAGCGAGCTCAACATGTTCACGCACCAGTACCTGCAGCCCAGCAGATAGTGGGCGGTTGGAGCAGGGTCCTCGTGGGGAAGGCGCTGTCACCACCCTTGGCATGGTGGGCTCCCTAGGCACGTCAGCTCCGGTCCCTGGCCACCCGAGAGAGTGAACGTATCCACTGTCTCATACCGTTTTGAGCCCTTCAGCACTAGTTATGTCCCCTCCCCTGACCTGCTGCTGCAGGAAGGTCCCCTGGCTCTGGCCCCTACAGGAGATTTTAATGATGACCAGACTGCATGGCATCTGGAGTCACAGCCAGGCCCTTCTCTGCTTCATCAGGTTCACTTGATGAAAATCATTTGCTTGATAAGTTTTCGGGTGTCAGTCTTGCAGGATGACTGAAGCCTTCGGGGGCATCAGGCAAGCACCCACCTTCCTCCAGCTCGTGCCACCTGCCCTCCTTGCACCCCAGCTATCCTGCAGAGAGAGGCCACATTGAGAGTGACTGGAATTCCTTCCCAGAAGCATTGGAAATGCTCCTGGAAGCCCGAGTGTCCCAGAAGGACTTGGGGCTTATGTCACCTGGTCATTTGGCTTTAGTGCTCTGTCCGCTTGCAAGCCTTTCAGATGTGTTGGTGGCCACGCTTGGCAGCCCTGAGCTATAGACTGAGGCTGAAGGCAGGGCAGCACTACAGAGCCAGTGGGGGATGGGGGGAGCTCAGAGAGGGAGTGTGGAGGGGTCTGACGCTGGTGACAGTGACGCTGTCAGAGCAGGTGGCCATCACCACAAGGAGGAGGGACTTGCCTCTCTTCTTGGGATGGCGTTCCTCACTTTGGATTTGGTCCTTGGCCTGCATAGTTTGTTTATTGTTGATGGGAGCTGGTTTGGTCCAGGTGGTTACAGGATGGTGGGAGGTGGGGCCTTGGTGGCAACTGAGAAGAAAAGGCCCTGCCTGGGAGGCTGGGGAATGTAGCTGGTTCAGAACAGGGGCCTCCGCTGACCTTGTTCTGAGAAGCTCCTGAGCCTGAGAGCCCTACCCTACTAGCTTGGTTGCATCCCCTGCCTTGCCCCAAGCCACCCACCTACCCTCTGGCCTGTTTCCTGTTCCTGCGACTCTGCAGTTGGCCACAAGATAGCGTGGGAGACCCAGCACCCTTCATCCACTCTCCCTGACCCTCAGAGCTTTCCTGACACACTGGTTTCACCTTGATTTTGAGAAATGTTCCCTGCCCTTGAGTTTTGAGGTTATTACTGGTTAAAGTGGGGAAGGTTCCTGTCACCAAGGTGTTAATGCAAGACCAGGTCAGAGACATCCCAACAAACCTGCACGGTGAAGCCCAGGGCAAGGCTTGGCAAGGGAAGCCTTGTCCTGCTGGTCCATCCAGCCATTGCCCGTGTAGTTGGTGCAATGAGGAAAAGGAGTTGGTGGGTGACCACACAGCTGATGTCTTTTCCATGTCCTTGCTTGTCCTTCAGCCCCTCAGTCACTTTGAGGGACAAAATGATGGACTTGGGCCAATGTCGGCATGTGGTGAGGTTGTTCTGAGTGTTTTGCCAGGCCTGGGCCCACAGGGTCACCTCCCAGGGAGTCAGGAAGAATCAGTGTCACACAAACCTATGAATTTTGTGTTCTTTTTTGAAGGAAAAAAAAACAAAAAAAACTTTTTTTCAGTGTAGCTCCTGGGGGATAAATGAAATTTTGAGCTTCTTATACAATAAGTAAAATTAAATTCACACCACCGAGTGGAGACGATTTCTGAAGGAAGTGTGGCAGAGGCACTTTAACTAGATGCTGCTAACCTTGTTCTATTTCATGTTCGTTTCTGGAGCGCAAGGCGAGCTCGACCCAGCGAGTTCTCTCGAATGTATTTAAGGTGTTGTATTTGCCTGAATTCCTCCTGTATCATTGCTGATAATATTGGAAACTAAAATAAAACCTAGTTGGAACCCTGCATGAGGCCCCTGCCTGGAGCTGGCGGTTGCTGAAGGTTCCTGGCACTGCAGGGCCTTCTGAAGGGACATTAGTTGAGGGGAAGTTCCCTTTCACTCTTGGAAGGAAACCGATTGGCTCAGGAGAACAAGTGGCAAAACTGGCCTCTAAGCCAGGAAGTGTAGAATGATTTCTTTACAGATTTCTCTATAACTCCAAACCATTCATCTTTCACTTAAAAAGTAGATGACTCAGAATGGCCCACCATCCTTTGACTTCTGAGAATTTCGGTATGACCTTTCCTTCCTCCCTCCCTTCCTAGGCCCTCAGGAGTGGATAAGGGTGTGAATGGTGGGCTTCCCTGCCCTTCCACCCGCATTCCCTTGACCCAAACACCCGTCTCCCAGGCCACGAACTTGGGGTATCATGCTTGAGTTCACTGTCATACATGCTGTATCTGTCATTGTCTAAATCTGTGGAGGCCCTGACCTTTGTTCACCTCCATCTCGGCCTTCAGTGACTCCCCCAGGCAGCCCCCAGAGTGACTTTTGTATCTAGAGCTCAGCTCCTGCTTTCTGCTCACAGCGCTGCGGTGGCTCTGGGTTCCACCTGGGTCGAGGCTGACATCCTTACCCTGGCCCTCCAGATCCAGCCCTCCACGCCCTTGCCCCTCTGTTTGGCCACACATTTTTTGTTGTCCTTGCAATTGCTAAGTATATTCCCTTCTGAAGGCCTTCGCCCTTTGCCCTGGCTGACCCTCGGCCTGTCCTTCCCCATATAGCCCCCGCTAGATTCACTCCTCTACCCCCAAGTCTGCCACACTGTTGCCATGGTGAAGTCAACTCAGAAGCCCCTGTGGGAGATCTGCCCTCCTTCCCCTCGGCTTCAGCCTGCAGGTGTCACACAACAGTTGTCACCTAACAGGAAACAGTGTTTGCTTTATTGCCTCCGCCTTCAGATCACATACTGCAAAGAGCTGAGATTTGGGTCTGCTTTGGTTATTCACATCTATCGAGCACCCAGGCTTGTGTCTGGCACAGAATTGAGCTCCAGAAAAGACTTGAGTGACCCTGACATTGTGGTGCACGTTCATCAGCCCTCCGGCACTAGGGGAGAGAACTAGCAACTACTACTGAAACTGGGGGACTCCAGGGGTACTGGGAAAGCAAAAAATGACCAAAACGGGGACAGACCTTTTTTTTTTTTTTTTTAAGAGAGAGAGAATTTATTTTTCAGTTTTTGGTGGACACAACATCTTTATTTTATTTTTTATGTGGTGTTGAGGATCGAACCCAGCGCCCCGCACATGCCAGGCGAGCGCGCTACTGCTTGAGCCACATCCCCAGCCCCAGACCTTTTACTAAGCAGCAGAATCAAGCAGTCAAGCATTGGAGGGGCACATCTTGGGGGGACATGGTGGCAGGCCCCATGGGGGTCTGGGTTTTATGGGGCCTTAGCAGAGCCAGGTCATGGGAAGAGTTAACTTTTGCAGGGCTCACTGGGCGGGCGGGGGGCAGGTAAGGGAGTTCCTAGGGTCAGCTGATGGGGGGGTCAGGTTTTATGTCCTCCCCTTCCTTCCCTCTGGTTGAGGCCTGGGCTTCTAAATGACAAAAGCTCCAATTTACCACTAACATCTCCCTGCACACAGGGAGGCAGGTGGGGAGTAGCTGCAGATAGGGGAGATGCGCATTCTCTGTGTCCCTCATGTTATGTACTCAGTGTTTCGCACTCTTGGCTCCATTGTGGAACCAGGCTCAGGGCAGTCGGACCAGCTTAAACCCCAGCTTCTTTGGGCATGGAGCCTGCATTTAAACTAAAATTTTCCCAAAGCCCAGGGGCTTTCGAACTTACTTTTTGCTCTGATCCACAATTTTAAATATATTGTGATCCAGTATATACCCGTGTGTTAAGTGAAAGGAAATACTTGGGATTAATCATCATCCTTGTCCTGCAGTGCAAGAGTAGCTTCTGTCATTAGCAGGATGCTGTTTACAACTCAATTACTCTCAGCAATTCCTAGATGATGGTCAGTTTGAAAAAGGCTCTTCTGGCTGGGGTGTAACTCAGTGGTAGTGCTTGCCTAGCATATGTGAGTCCTAGGTTTGATACTTAGCACTGCAAGATAGATGGATAGATAAAAGCTGTTCTCACATGCATGGAGGAAGGATTGCAAATTGAAGGCCAACCTTAGGGACTTAGTGAGACCCTGTCTCAAAAAAAAAAAAAAAATGCCTGGGGATATAACTCAGTAGCTCAATGATAGAGTGGGCCTGGGCTCAATCCCCAGTACCAAATAAATAAATAAATAAAGTCTCTTGCTCCTTGTTGGGTCCCCAGTCAAGACCGGGCCAGACTCATCCCTGTGGTTTCTCAGGCTACCTCACCTGTACAGTAGAAGTTCTGGGGAATCTGAGAGGCTGGGAATTTTAGCCCCCTGGTGACAGCATCCTCATTTAATCCCAAGTACTATGTGACCAGGAATGCAGGACTTCATTCCAAGTGCTGAGGCGATGGCCTCTTTGGGTCAAGGCTTCCTGCCTCTGCTGAGTTGGACTCAGTCTTGATTAAGAACAGCCAGCACCTCTTGACAGCTTACCTTGTGTCCTGTCTGCAGATCACCCCCCACTGTTGTGGGAAACAGACCGTTGGTAGAGAAGAGAACTCCAAACTTTATTGTAAATGGGCAGACACAGAGGAGAAAAATGTCAAATTCTGAGCCCTCATCCACAGTTTCTTACAACACTTATAGGTCATTTGGTGTCATTTTAGACCTGTCATATATATATATATATATATATATATATTTTTTTTTTTTTTTTTTTTTTAAACCTCTTTTTAAAAATCTCCTAGGCCCCGTGTGGTGGCGCATGCCTATAATCCCAGAGGCTCAGAAGTCTGAGGCAGGAGGATCCGGAGTTCAAAGCCAACCTCAGCAATTTAGTAAGGTGCTAAGCAACTCTGTGAGATCCTGTCTATAAACACAAAAACGGGCTGGGGATGTGGCTCAGTGGTTAAGTACCCTGAGTTCAACCCCCAGTACCTAAATAAATAAATTAATAAATAAATAAATTTGTGGCTAAAGGCCTTGTGCAGGGTCTCTAATAGAAAGCTTGCTTACAGAAACAGAGAAGAAGGAACAGCCCTTTTCACAGGCAATTGTGAATCTCTAGCCTTGAAAGCCTTTCAAAGGGATGTTTACATTTCAAAAGAGAGTAGACAGACTCCTGGAGACAGTTATTTATAATCCAAAAGGTAGGAAAGGGGTGGCTAATTAGGTTTCCTAAGGGGAACTAACCCTTGCCCCAGGCACTCCTTTCTAACCATAACATTTTTATAATTTCATTTTACAACCAGATCTGGTTTTTGCCATCACACCACAAATGCCAATGATCTCTCAAATGAGGAGGTTGTCCATTTGGCAGAGTGAGTGCCTGCTGCTGCTCAGCAGGGCTCTGGGCCCTGGGGATACAGTGGGGAATGAGGTCCTGAATCTGGGCAGGGCTTTCCAGCACAGGGAACACAGAGCAGGCAGAGACCCTGGGGTGGGCACAGGAGCAGCATCTGCCAAGAGCAAAGTGAGGGCATTGCAGCCAGAGTGGAGTGAGACCGGAGAGGGGGTGCAAAAGGGAGCTTGGGGCAGACTTGGGTCTTGTTTTCTTCTGAGCGAGGCAGGTGTCACTGGAGAGTTGGAGCAGAATATGAGCCAACTTGGGTGTTTCTGTTTCTGTTTTTTGTGGTACTTGGGTTCAAACCCAGGGCCTTGAGCCTGGGAGGCCAGTGCTCTATCATTGAGCGACACCCGGTCTTGCCATGTTGCTGAGACTGGCCGGGAATTTGTGATCCTCCTGCCTCTTTCTCCCAAGGCCCAGGGATTACAGGCATGCACCACTGTGCCCAGCTATGACTCACATTTTCGTGGGGTCCTGGATTGCTGGGTGGAGATGGACAATGAGAGGACAGATACAAAACAGCCAGCCAGGCAGGACGTGATGGTGTCCTGGACCAGGGCAATTGGGATGGAGGTAGAGGAAAGGAGGTTCCGGATACCTTTTGAGACACCACAGTGTATTTTATTGCTACTTCTTGATGGATGTTGGGATTCACAACGAAGCTGCCGCTGAAACAGACTCCCTCTGAAATTAAGGGCAACTTCCTGATAACTTGTTTTTCTGTGGGATATGAAACAGAGCCCCTGTTGAGCAGGTTTGGTGGCACATGCCTGTAATCCCAATTGAAGAACAGCCTCAGCAGTTTGGCAAGGCCCTAGGTAACTTAGGGAGACCCTGTCTCAAAATAAAATATAAAAAGGGCTTGGGATGTGGCTCAGTGGTTAAGCACCCCTGGATTCAATCCCTGGGTACCAAATAAATAAATAAACAGAGCCCCCTTTGAAATTAAGCTCAAAATTGTTTCAACTTTAGAACTTCCTTAGCATGAGAATAAGACAAACCCATTGGAAGTTGGAAGTCGAGACCCACAGGTTCTCTGGCTAACTAAATCTGCCTGTGTATACTTCCTGAGTCTTGTCCCACAGTCTCTCTATAAAAGCTTTTCTTTCTCTGAAGACAGAGGGATGAGAAAAGTTGTCTGTCTTCTTCAAAGCTGGTTTTAAGGGGCTGGGGGTATGGCTCAGTTTGGAGAGTGCTTACCTCACATGCACAGGCCCTGGGTTCAATCCCCAGCACCACCAAAAGAAGAGTTGGCTTTGAATAAACATCCCAGCCAAGTTGCCTTTTATTATTATTTTTTTAATGAAATAGTGGAAAAGCCCTTCCATCTTGGAGTGCTTTTTTTTTTTTTTTTTTTTGGTGAGAGCAGGGGTACCGGGGATTGAACTCAGGAGCACTTGGCCACTGAGCCACACCGCCAAGACTATTTTGTATTTTATTTAGAGACAGGGTCTCACTGAGTTGCTTAGCACCTCACCCTTGCTGAGGCTGGCTTTGAACTTGCAATTCTCCTGCCTCAGGCTCCTGAGCTGCTGGGATTACAGGCATGTGCCACTGCGCCTGGCACTCTTAT